TTTTAATAGCCTTTCCAAAGAAATGAGGCATGATTATTGTACAGTACTGTGACTGATTTAATTTGATGTACAGAACAGGCTGCATTCTTAAGGATAAAAATATTTGATGGCACTCATTCTTGTGTTTTGAATCTTTTCTTTCTGAAACACTCAAACATCTTACAGAGTGCTGAATAGGTGATAGTGATCCAACTTGTTGGCTAAATGAACATTTGTTTAAATTTGTACAGTTTCCGGTGTTTACTTATACAAAACGTGTACATACTTTCAAATAATTTAAAATGCTTTATATTATTTGGCTAGAAATTGCAGTTTTTAATAAATGTGAATTTTTTAAAAAATAAAGATTTTTGCTTCCTACTTTGTCCTCACATGTCTGTTGTATGGATTCTTTTTAAAAATAATTTTTTAATTGAAATTTTTATTGAGCTAGCTTGTGATTCACATGCGGTTGTCTAAGATGTAATATAGGGAGACTCTGTGTACCTTTCCCTGGATTTCTCCCAGTGGTAACATCTTGCGAAAGTAGAACAGGTTATCACAAGCAGGAGATGGACAAAAGTACACCCCACCAGTCTGTTCACACTTCCCCAGTTTTACCTGTACTGTGTGGATTTTTTTTTTTTTTTTGGTAAGATAATTATTGTGGGAAGACATTTTTTGAAGCCTCTTAATGCTTCATTAGTTGAAAGATAATTTTTTCTTTGTAAAAACTGCCAATTTCCTGTGTACCTTCAGCACATAGTCGTGTTGAAATTTAATGTTATGTAAGTAGCAATAAAAATGAGTTTGTATTTTCCCCCTGGTTTAACAATCCCATATCTTTAAATTGTCTTCTGCAATTTATTACCTTACAAGAAAGAATGGTCAACCTTCATTTTTTTTTTTTAAAGATTTTATTTATTTATTTGACAGAGATCACAAGCAGGCAGAGAGGAAGAAGCAGGCTCCCTGCTGAGCAGAGAGCCCGATGCGGGGCTCGATCCCAGGACCCTGAGATCATGACCTGAGCCGAAGGCAGCGGCTTTAACCCACTGAGCCACCCAGGCGCAAATGGCCCCTTTTTAAAAATGAAGTTTTGGGGCGCCTGAGTGGCTCAGTGGGTTAAGCCGCTGCCTTCGGCTCAGGTCATGATCTCAGGGTCCTGGGATCGAGCCCCGCATCGGGCTCTCTGCTCAGCAGGGAGCCTACTTCCCTTCCTCTCTCTCTCTGCCTGCCTCTCTGCCTACTTGTGATCTCTGTCTGTCAAATAAATAAATAAAATTAAAAAAAAAAAAAGGGGGCCATTTGTACTGGAAACCGTGGTGTGTTGGTGAGAGAATGGTGCTTCTCAGAAAGGAGAGGAGGAACTTCATTGTTTCCTCTTGGGAGCACTTTTTTCCTGGTGGTGGCTCGTCTCCCCACTTGTTCACCTTTTCTGACGGCAGGTGGGTCTCCTCGGCTCCTCCCTGCTCATCCTCCCGGCCGGCCTGGGTCCGTGAGCGCATGCGCCAGATGACGTCACTGTCTCACGTGGGCAGGAAAGGGCTTTGTCGGAAGGAGATGGGGTGCTGGCCCGGGACATACCAGAGGCTCCAGGAGCAGAGGGATAAGGGCAGAAAATAGCACTGATGTAGCTATTCCTTCAACGCGGAAGGAGTGGGTGTGGACTCCGCTGCTGTGGTCCTGGACTGAGCGTCCCCACAACCGCGTTCATCTCGGGCAGGCTCGGAAGACAGTCTCTGTGCCAGGTACTGATTTATGGCCTCTCGGCTCCAAATCCACCTTTTTGGGCCCTCCTTGGACACTCTGGAGCTGGGCCCTGAGAATATTCCTCCTCCCCCAGCGGGTGCAAGGTTAGGCTTTGTGGGGTGCTGGAGGTACACTGCAAGGCGCAGGGGAAGGGGCCTCCTGTTGCTGGCCCGTCTGTTTTTCCTTCTACGTGGTCGCCGTTGCAGCGTGGGGGGTTCTGGGGGGCTCTCCCTCTATAGGGAGTTCTCCTGATCCGAGTGAAAGCTGGCAGCTCCCCAGCACTCCAGTGAAGTACCCCCACCCCCCCAAAGCCAGCGGACTGTGCTTCCATCCCTAGCTTTGGTGCTGGTGGGGGCTCTTCGAGGTTCTTCGAGGTTCTTCTTTCCCTTCCGAGCAGCCCAGCATGCGCCTTCACCCCCACGCTTCATTCCACAACCCCTTCCCTCTCACACAGGGTCCTTGCTGGGCTGGGCTCCTCCCCAAAGCCACAGTTGCATTGTTTTGCTATTGCTGGCTTCGCTGATCCCCAGTCTGTAACCCCCCCCCCCACCACGCCCCGGGGCGGGCAACCTGTACCTTCCTCTTCGGACCTTGAGCACATGGTGGAAGCTCAGTGTGTATTTGTTGGATGGCCTAATTAGTTACTGAATTTGTTAGTAATTTTGTGGGCACTGCACGAAGCCCCATGTGCCTTGGGGCAGTCACTGATTGTTACTCTTCAGGGGACCCTTGTGTGTAACTGAAGAGGTTGGTATTCATAAACAGCCCAGCTTCGTTCATTTTTGTTTCCAGGAGAAGCCAAGTCACTGAAGAGAGAATGGAGGTCAGGCAGGATTTGTCCCCTCAGGTAGGTGAGGGCCTGGCAAGGGCTCAGGGTGTGAGGCAGAGTGTGTTACAGGTTGAATTAGGCGCCCCGGTCTCTGCCCCACATTCCTGTGTTTGAGTCCTAACCCCCAGTGCCTAGAAATGTGACCTGGTTTGGAATTAGGCTGTTGGAGATGCAATTAGTCCAGATGAGGCCATACCGGCATAGAGCATGGTATGAGGCCATACCATCCAATGTGGTTGGTGTCCATATAAAAACGGGGACTGTGATTCGGACACACACACACCCACAGAGAAGGCCAGGTGAGGCCTGGAGTGTGTTGTCTCAAGCCCAGGACCCAGAAGTCAGTCGGGGCTAGAACACACACTCCCCTCGGGCCTTTGGAGGGAAGCCCTTGATCTCGGCCTTCCAGGCTCTGGAAGTGTGGACAGTAAGTTTCTGCGGTGGATGGCACCCAGTGTCGGTGTCAGGGGGGAGGGGTCCTTGATCTCTGCAGTTCCTGGCCATCTATCTGGTTGGCGACTTTACTTCCTTACCAGTCTGTGAGGTGATTCGCCTTCCCTCATGAGGACAGTCCCTGAGTCCAATCTCTGGTGACCATGGCACTGAGCCACGGTTCCCAGAGGACCAGGAACCCCGTGCTGCTATGTGAGATTTCTGGTCTTTTGGAAAGATTGGCCAATGGGGCAGGACTGACTGGGCAGAACACCCCGGTGAGACAGCCTGTTCACAAGCTCTGCGTGAGTAGCAGGATGATTGCAGGTTGGTGGGAAGAGGATGAGCAGGGACGGAAGGGAGTTGGCTGATGATGGTGGGAACCCACTCGGGAAGCAGGGAGCACAGTGTCTTCTCCATGCCACTGCCTCTGACCCCTGGCGTGTGGCTCTGTGAGGTGAGCTCCAGGACTGCCCTGCTATTCCAGGTGAGGAAACGGGCTCCCTGCTCTGGGGGGGACTTGCTTGTTGCTGAAACCCACTCAGAAGCTTCTGCCTCTCGTGGCGGGTGAGGAAAAGGGCTTCTGTGCGCTCAGCATGAGTGTGGAGCCCACAGGGTGCACTGAAGCTCTGCCGTGGGCTTGTGAGCGTGGGCTGCTGCGGTGGTGATCTGTCATTTATGGCTCATGGCCTTGCCCCACAGTGACTGTTGTTCTGAGGACAGCAAGGTGTGGCAAACAGTGGGGGTGACTGTGGATGCCCCACCCCCCACCCCCACTCCCTGCCTTCACCTCCAGGGCTCCCCCAGCTCCTGGGTTGTCATGGTTCGGGGTCATGATGACTTCCAGTGAGGGTTGGTCGCAGGCAGTGTGAGATGAGCAAGGGGGCAGGGCCACGAAGGTGGGACTCTGGTGTCATTGTCACAGCAGGGAATGGCCAGCTACCAGGCTGGGCTGGCTGGCTGGAAGGCGTTTCCTATCCCATCTCAGTTTAGGCTGCAGTGGAGGTCATCCCGGGAAGTTGCCATGCCCTGGGGTCTATAAAAGGCACACTGGAGGGGGCTGCCCAGCTTCTGAGTCCTCCTTTTCTAGAAACTGCCCCTTCCGGTGCATAGGCGTCAAGACATAGCTCCACCCTCCTTACCACGTGGGGCTGCACCAAGAGTGGCTCCCAATTAAGCCAGGCCGATCAGACACCTCTGGTGTCTTTTGAGACATGGGGAGGCAAAGCTACATGAAGTGAGGGGCATAGACCACATGTCTTCAGGACATGAAGAATGTCACAGAGATGGGAATGGAAGTCATCTAGCTTCTGGGGACTTCCCATGCTCTGATCCTTTTCTGAGACCCACTGCACCTTCTGTCCATATGACTCATTTCCCTTTTTGCTTTACCTCCTTGAATTAGTGACTATTACCAGAAGTGTCCCAGCTAGTGGAGGGGGTTTGAGTGTGTGTGCTTCCGGGCTCCCGATGGGCTCCTGGGTTAGGGGACCTGCAGCAGTCTGGCGTTGGGTCACTGTCTGGGTCTCCCTGTGTCTTGGCAGGTGTGGGAGATGGGTGTTTGTGATGACGTTAGGGTTAGTGAGAACTTCCTGGGTATCTAGACCCACTTTGCTGGCAAGGAAACTGAGGCATAAAGCGACTTGCCCCAGAATACACAGCCAACGACAGGCAGAGGTATGCTTTGAGACCGTCTCTGTACTGAGTCAACCCATGTACACAGGAAGGCTGCAGAAGGCCTGCATTCAGGTGACCAGTGAGGGTGCACGGGACGTTGATGGGTATTGCCTACTGAAACAACTTGCTCCTTGTGCTGTCGGGTGAGGGTTTTTCTGTGCCCAGCCACAGATTCTTTTTTCAAACCAAGGAGCTGTGGTAAATCCCAAATGACAAATCAACTCTCAAGGGACATCCACAGGGCTCTGGGGTTATCCTCGGCGCTCCTGGTAACTTTCCTGAGACAGTCCTCGGTGGCAGGAAAAGGCCCTGGCACGACATGGTGATCGCCCTACTCTGGGAGGTGAGAGTCCTCCTTCGATTCCACGTCGTCGATTGGCAAGATCCTGGCATTATTGATGAAGTTTTCCAAATCAGGGATGGTCAGGAAATTCAGGATCCTACTCATTTTCCCCAGGAGAACCTGCATCTTCCGAGCTGTTGAAATAATTTCTACCTCCAGGATGGTCTTCTGCTTCATTTCACTCAGCGCCTCTGGGGTTACGAACTGTGGGGATCCACAGAGAGCTCGGTGAGGATGAATGCTGCCCAGAAACCATGCTTTCCACCCCAGGATTAGGCCCCTTGGACCAGGACTGAGTGTTCTCTGGAGACTCGCTCCAGGGTGAATTTGTGCTCCCAGCCTTGTCACTGGCAACACGTCCCTTTTTTGGCCCAGGCCTGTGACCACACAGCCACAGGGATGCAGGCTGAGACTGCACTCAAGCCTGACCCCAAACCAATGGGTTACCAGCTCTGGGGTCCTTGTGCAGCCTGCCTGGCCAAGGCTGTCTTCCTGGGGCTGTCCGGCTCCTCCCCATGGATTCCCACCATGGAAGTGGGGTTGGGGAGACAAGCTCTATCGCAGGTGGGAAACTCTCCACAGTGTCTCCCTGTCAGTCCCACTTCTGGCTCCAGCTCTCCTGGAGCGGGTCTGGTTTTGCTGGGGGACGAGGCACTGCCCCAGGGAAGCCAGCTCTAGGCCAGCTTCTGCCTTGGTTTGTAGCCTACAGAGGCTGAGCAAAGGGTCTCCCGGAGGGGGAAATAATAAAGGAGCATAGCAGTGTGTTCTGTTTCTGTGAGGTACCCAGCTTATGAAATGTTCTCATACTAGTACCTTATTTAAGCCTTACAACAATGTGGTGTACCTTTTGCAGGCAATAACGGACACAGAAAGTACATGAGGCCTGCCTGGTGTCTCATGGCAAGTGGAGGGGCTAGTATGTTCTTCCTAGGGTGCCCTGGCTCCTGGCCTCGGTGGACCTGCTGACTAGTCACATGTATGCTGATTTGCTTCATTTGCCCCTGACCCCCTGCCCCTGCACTGGCCCAGCTACTGGGGCTGCCAGGCCTCCTGGGTTTTCTGCCTGCACCAGCCCTTCACCTGCCCTTCCTGGGCACTGGCTCCCTTTCTTGGCCCCCTCCATCACTGGGACCCCACTGTCATCCAAAGTCCAGGGGCCCAGGGCTTCATACCCTCCCCACCCCAGCTGCTCCCTTAGCTCATCACTGCTGTGCAGGGGGAGGCTAGTGGATCATTGGGGATGGTGCTTTGTACCTACATTCCTCCTCTCTACTGGGTTGGCGGCTCCGGAGGATCCGGGGTAGGTAAGGAGGTTGGACGTGGTTACTTAGGATATAAAATGGCAGGCCTTGCTGGGCCAGGGGACCAGCTGTCCAGATCTGTTTGGAACTTTCCCAGTTTGAGCACTCAGAGTCAAATGTCCAGGAAAACACCTCAGTCCTGGGCAGGCTGAATGTTCCACGTTCTCTGTTTTCCTTCCCAGAATTTCATATGGCTTAATTTTGGCAGAGTCTGCTGTTTGGTTCTTCCCTCCATCAACCTACTTCTCCATCTGCTCACCTCCCAGGAAACATGTCTGTCTGTCTGTCTCCCAGATAGGCCATCCTACTTGCAGAGATCTTGAATACTTCTCTGGTGGGTCTGTAAACAGAGCCTTCCATGAACGGGAAAGGGGAGCCAGAGCAGGAGCAGGGTCTTGTGTGGGTCTCAAAGGGGGGCCAAGGACACCCTATTCCTCTCTTGAACTCTGGAGAGAGAAGGGTCTCAGGAGCCCACCTTCCTTCCCACTCACAGTCAGAACTCCAGGGTGCAGACTCCCCATTTGTAGGGGGTTGAACTGTGACCTCCAAAAGATATGTCTGACTCCTAATCCCTAGGACTTGTGACGGTCACTGTATTTGGAGAGAGTGTTTTAGCCGATATAATTAAGTGAACGATCTCAGGATGAGGTCATCCTGGACTTAGGGTGGGCCCTGAATCTGCTGTCTGGTGTCCTTACAAGAGAAGGGAGAGGGAGATTGGATACAGAGAAGGAGGCTGCGTGAAGGTAGAAGATTGGAGGGATGCCGCCCTAAGCCAGGGGACACCCAGGGCCCCCAGAAGCTGGGAGAGGCAAGGAAGGATTCTCCCCCAAGCTCTTTGGAGGGAGTGTGGCCCTGCTGACACCTGGAGTTCAGACTTCTAGCCTCCAGAGCTGTGAGAGCTGAAGTTTCTGTTTTACGCCAACCAGTTTGTGGTCATTTGTCATGGCAGCCATAGGACATGAACACATCTTTGCTACTTTCTTGCTCAGCCCAGGCTGAGCCCCCTGAACCTCTAGGTGCTCCTTGAGTGATTTGGGGGAGAAGAGGACACCAAGGGCAGGCGTGGGAACACAGATTTCCCCATGGTTTCTGTCCCTGCCAACTGACAGGGCTGATGTGAGTGTCAGGTGAGAAGATGTATGTTGACATCTTCGCTTTATTGTCTGGCTTGCTTCTGGGCTCTTTGAGGCTATCTGGTTCCTCAGCTGGGAATCTCTAGGTGCTGGGAGTCCTGAGGGACTCGGAAGGTAAATGAACACCTCTGTCAAGCATCAGGTCAACGAAGGTGGCCAGGTTTCTCTCTGGGTCGCAGTGATGTAGAACATGGCCCAGAGAGAGGCCCGTGGCATGGCCCAGTGGGCACCTGCCTGGCGGAGGGAGTTGAGACCTTACCTTGTACTTGGTGCCCAGGTTTAAGCAGATTTGCTTCTTTTGGTGGCTGAAGCAGAAGATGATCTTATCCTGGCTCCTTATTTGTACCTTGATGTACTGGTTGATTTTCAAGGAGATGGACTGGAAAGGGGGTGCATGGACGTGGAGGCTCAGGTCCCACCAGTTCCAGGCCTTCTGGTGTTTGCCTTTGGGGAAGTAGTAGCCCAGGTTTTGGCTCAGGCTCACCCTAGACCGAGAAGGGATCAGGCAATGCTTTTTAAAAAGATTTATTTATTTACTTATTTATTTGAGAGAGAGCACAAATAGGGGGAGGGCAGACTCCCCGCTGAGTAGGGAGCTCAGTGCGAGACATGATCCTGGGATCATGACTTGAGCCCAAGATGATTAACTAACTGAGCCGCCCAAGAGCCCCTTTTGCCCGTAATTTTACATATAACTTTGGGTAAGTCACTTATATTCTCTAAGTTTCTTTGTCAAGAAAATAAAAGTAGTTCCTAGATTTCCCTAAGGTCTCTTCTGGCCCTAAAAGGAAGTGTCATTATGGAGAAGAGGCCCTACAGAAAGTAGCCAGATACTATTTGAAATAATTGGCTGAGTTTCTTGCCCACTGGCCACCTGGTACTTCTTGCACCTTTCAGACATCAGTTTCTATACAAAAGGCCCTCAGGGCAGGGCAGGTACCTCTGAGAACAAAGTTGTCAAGTAGGAAATAGCGTTTTAAAAAACTCAAAAAAAAAAAGAAAAATTAAAGAAAAAAGCAAAAAACACACAAAATTAAAAAACTCAAAGAATATTTAAGAAACTGTTCTTAAGGGGTGCCTGGGTGGCACAGCTGGTTAAGTGTCTGACCCTTGGATCCAGCTCAGGTCATGATTTCAGGGTTGTGGAATCAAGCCCTACAGCTTAAGACTCTCTTTTCCTCTGTCTTGCCCAGCCCTTCCTGCCGCTCTCAAAAAAAATAAATCTTAAAAAAAAAAAGAAAGGAAGAAAGAAAGAAAGAAAATAGTCTTAAAAACCAGGACTGGTGGGGCACCTGGGTGGCTCAGTGGGTTAAAGCCTCTGCCTTCGGCTCAGGTCATGGTCCCAGTGTCCTGGGATCGAGCCCCACATCGGGCTCTCTGCTCTGTAGGGAGCCTGCTTCCACCTCTCTCTCTATCTGTCTGCCTCTCTGCCTACTTGTGATCTCTGTCTGTCAAATAAATAAATAAAATCTTTAAAAAAAAAAAAAAACCAGGACTGGTGGAGTAAAAATATTTTTTGGGGATTAAAAGCCAAAGTCTGGTTTTGACTACCAAGAAGAAAGGAAGTAGAAAGTTGATATAAGATGGTAGGCCTTTCCTACTCCATGACCACTTAGTGGGGAAGGGAAGAGGGAAATCCTGAAAAAAACAAAAACCAAAAAATGGAGTACTTACCCCCAAAAGATGGAGAAAGATTCTGAAGTTTGATTTGGTAAGATTAAGTTTCCCACCATGGCCAGAAATGGGAACTTAAGAACTAAGTTCGAGTGACCATGAAATACTTAGAAGTTTGTTTTTTGGGCATGATACATGTGTCTCCAAAGCCCTCACCACACCCTCCTCTCTGAGACACCTGGGACAGAGGGGCCCTGGGTCCTTCTAAGATAGTTCTCACCGGGCTTGACTCTCAGGAGGTGTATGTAGAGGACACGGAACCAAGAGAAGTAGTCACCGTGAGTCTCTGATGGCTATTTTACCCTTGGGGAAGCTATGGCGACAAGGACAGAGTGCCTTCTTGCAGGTCAGGGACCTTTCTTGCTGCCACCATGATACCCATCTCCCCGTTTGCAACATGTGTGGGTCGGAGAAACAAATTCACAAGCGAATGAGGGAGAGAGAGAGAGAGGGAGAGACGGAGACCTAACCCAATGAGGGAGGATGGCTGTGTGGACTAGGAATCAACCCTTAACCACACTGCCTCTCTGTGGAGAGGTGTGTTTGGGACTCCCAACCCAAACTTACCAGATTTCTCTGTTTTCATCATAGAAGGTGGCATGGCCAGAGTTGTTGATAAGGGCCTGGACACACCTTTCTTCACTGTCTTCCAGAATGATGAATGTTAACTCCCTCTGTTTTGTACTGAGGATTAGCAGAGCCAGCTTTCCTGATGGATAGCTGCAAGACAGTTAAGGCACATGCAGCCTCTTGTGGTCCCCTGGGAAAGGCAGAGCCCTGCAGAGGACATGGGCCCTCAGGAAGATCACACCCCAGCTCTGACCCACACACTTCTCAGGCGCCATGTGTGTCAATGCGAGTGGCCCTGGGCTTTGGTGGATACTGTATCTGGCCTGATCCATCAAGAAAGAGGATTTGGAAGATCGTCTCACTGGGGTAGAGGGTTAATTTTACATCATGGTGAGGCACCTGGGAAGAAGAGATGAGCTTATTATAAAAAGTGCACAGGGGCTGATTGTCCCCAATTCAGAGTCTGGTGTTGTCACTAGAGTGCTCGGGATTGGTTTACTCTCCGAATGTCCACATTGCCACTCCATCATCACTACCCCGCCCATCACTACCGCCACCTTGCTGAGGATTCTGGGTAGGAAACCTCTCAGGGCCTCCTTGGTTTACTCATCTGTGTGACCAGGAGCCAGAGAGGGACCACTTTGTATGCTTGAATGTGTGCGTGCAGATTTTACTATCATTTCAATTCTCTGATGGTTCTTGGTTGTTTTTCTTTCTTTTTTCTTTACGAGACTTTATTTGTTTATCTGAGAGGGAGAGAGAACACAAACTGGGGGGAGAGGCAGGGAGAGAAGCAGATGGACAAGCAGACTCCCTGTTGACAGGGACACGAGACTTGATCCCAGGACCCCGAGAGCATACCTGAGCCAAAGTCCAGACACTTAACCAACTGAGCCACCCAGGGGCCCTGGTTATTGGTGGTTTTAGTTTTCTAGGGCTGCTGTAACAAAATAAACCAAGGACGCACTTTAAAACTACAGAAATTTATTTTCTTACAGAGGTGGAAGCCAGAAGTCTGAAATGAAGGTATCCGCAGGGTTAGCTCTTTCTGGAGTCTCCAGGAAGAATTTCTTCTGTGCCTCTCTCCTGGGTTGTGGTGATGACCTGCGATCCTTGTTCTGTGGCCTGTGCATGGCGGCAATGTCTACCTTTATCACCATGTGCCATCCTCCCTGGGCCTCTGTGTCTTCACATGGCCATCTTCTTGAAAAAACACCCATCACGCTGGATTAGGGGCCCACCTTGCTTCAGCATGACCTCATCTTAACCACATCCTTAAAGACTAATTTTCCAAAGAAGGTTCTGTTCTGAGGCACCGGGGCTTAGGACTTAAATACATCTCTTTAGGGGGATGCAATTCAACCCATAACACTGGCATTATTCAGGGTTTTTAAAGTTTCTTCTTGATTCAGTTTTAGTGAATTATATTTTTCTAGGACATTGTTCATTTTATTTATTTGTATATTATTTATTATTTTTAAAAAGATTTTATCTATTTATTTGACACAGAGAGAGATCACAAGTAGGCAGAGAGGCAGTAAGAGAAAGAGGGGGAAGCAGGCTCCCTGCCCAGCAGAGAGCCCAATGTGGGGCTCGAACCCAGGATCGTGAGATCATGACCTGAGCTGAAGGCAGAGGCTCAAACCACTGAGCCACCCAGGAGCCCTTAGGACATTGTTCAATTTAGGTAAATTTTGAAATTTATTGTCCTAAAACTATTGTCATATGGTATTTAAAAAAAGAAAACCCTCTACTGTCTCCGTAGTTATGACTTTGTCTTCATTCTTTTTATCATGACTATCTTCTCTCTCTCTCTCTTTTTTTTCCTGGATAAACCTCACCTGAAGATTTGCCTATTTTACTAGTATTTTCAGAGAGCTTGCTTTTGGTTTGTTTATTCTATTTGTTTCCCATTGTATCAATTTTTAGTCTTAATGTTATCATTTATATACTTGTACCTTCTGTAGTTTTTTATATTATTCTATTATTCTATTTTATAATTCCTTGAATTGAATATTGAGCTCATTGGTTTTCATCTTTCTTCGTCTCGATCCTCCTACTCTTTTTTTTTTTTAAGATTTTATTTATTTCTTTGACAGAGAGAGATCACAAGTAGGCAGAGAGGCAGGCAGAGAGAGAGAGAGCGAGGAGGAAGCAGGCTCCCTGCCAAGCAGAGAGCCTGATGCGGGACTCGATCCTAGGACCCTGAGATCATGACCTGAGCCACCTAGGTGCCCAGTCGTTCTTAATATATATTTTTATTATGTTATGTTAGTCACCATACAGTACATTATTAGTTTTTGATGTAGTGTTCCACGATTCAAGAGAACATATTTCATGGAACACCCAGTGCTCCATGCAATACATGCTTTCCTTAATACCCATCACCAGGCTTCATCAAGATAAAAAGCTTCTGCACAGCAAAGGAAACAGTCAACAAAACAAGAGACAACCCACAGATTGGGAGAAGATATTTGCAAATGACACTACAGATAAAGGGCTGGTATCCAAGATCTATAAAGAACTTCTCAAACTCAGCACCCAAAAAACAATCAAGTCAAAAAATGGGCAGAAGATATGAAGAGACACTTCTCCAAAGAAGACATGCAAATGGCTAACAGACACACGAAAAAATGTTCAACATCATTAGCCGTCAGGGAAATTCGAATCAATGCTCCTTCTTAATATTAGCATTAAAAGTTATAGCACTGCTCTCAACATACCATTTTAGCTATTTCCCACGCAAATAGAAATGTTTACCTTTCATTCCATTCTAAATATTTCTGAATTACCAGTGCGATCTCTTCTTTGACACACAATTTATTTGCAAGTGGGTTTTTAAATTGCAAATGCATGGTGTGCATTTGGGTGATGTTATTATGACTAATTAAAACTCACTGGGCTGGGTGCGTGGGTGGCTCAGTGGCTAGGCATCTGCCTTTGGTTCAGGTCATAATCCCAGAGTCCTGGGATCGAGTCCCGCATCGGGCTCCCTGCTCAGTGGGAGGCCTGCTTCTCCCTCTCCCATTCCTCCTGCTTGTGTTCCCTCTCTTGCTGCGTCTGTCAAAAAAGTGAAATCTTTAAAAAACAAAACAAAACAAAACACCCCACTGGGGTAAGAGGACATAGTCTATGTGATATCAGCTGTTGAGCGTTTGCTGAGGCTTGTTTTGTGGCCCAGGGTGTCCTCAGTTATTGGAGGTGTGTCACATGCGGCTATTTCCTTGTGAAGGACACATGTCCTTGTCTTGCGTTTCCATGTGGGCACGAACACCCAAGCCCCTGGCTTATTCGGATGAGCTGTTCTCCCTCGCCTTGCCCTCCACTCCCAGCACACCACCCCGCCTCACCACCCCCTGCTCACATGCTCACTCCTCCCGTGTCTCAGTTTCTCTCTCCTGGTGTTGACTCTGCCTCTTGCTTTCTTACACACTCTGCTCTGTATTTCTGACACTTTTTATGTGTCATCTACATTTCCCAGGTGTTTGCAGTAGGAAAGCTTTCCGGGTCATCTAGTGTCCCACATCGCTCTAAATGGGTCAGTGGTTCCCTAGCTATTATTTTTAATTGTTGAAGCCGCTTTGTTCAAGAAAGCGGAATGCCCAGATCAGAGATGATCAAAGACAAAGCTGCAGCTCGCTGAAGAGCTTCGGGCATGCCTTGGAATGCCATAGTCTGGGCATCCGGGTGAGAACCACTTGAGGTGACAAAGGTCTGCAAACTGACTCCATCCCTACACCCAGCACTGTGCCGACCATTTTCTTCCACAGCACAAGGACCCTACTAGGTAGACACGATCATTGGCTCCCCTGGAGATGAGGGCAGATGACATACACAAAGCTGTCTGGTGAGGGGAGAGCCAGAGGCCCGCGACCTGCCCCTTGCCTACAGGCTCGTCCATGGAACGTGCTGCCTCCAACCATTCATCTCCCAGCTACTTCCCACATTCAGTCTACACATCACTGCTCTTTTCTGTTTTAACCTAAAAAAGTGCTTTGTAAAGACACCCAGGGTTGGTTTGTTCCTGATGGCCCGGAAGGAGCTTCTAGCTGTTGCTCGCGAGAGGGTATTTGTATTTTAGGTCTTATTTTCACGCACCCCCTGAAAGCCTGACTTCCTCGAGATGCTGTCTGCCTGTCAAATTCAGTTGTCATGGAATGATGTTTTCCTGCGAGGAGGACCCCACGGGCAAAGCAAAATCTCTGACCTGGAGGTGGACTTGTCACATTTTCTCTCACTGGGAATTATGTAATGTATAAGTGGCTTCTCTAAAAGCCAATGCCTCATCACCATTTGCATGGGGACAGAGTCTGAGACTAGGAGCTACCTAGTCTTACCTAGTCTTACCTACCTAAGAGAGGAGGGACTACATCTCTGGCCCATCCTTCATTTCTGCTAGAGTGGAAACTCTGCCTCTGGAGCCGGGCCCTGTGTTGTGAGAGATGTCTGTCTGGCCCTGAGTTCTCCCTGCCTGCTGGGTGGCTGCTGGCTTCTGGGCTGGCCAAGCTGCTCTCTGCTGGAAGGCCAGCACACACTTAGAAACAGGGCTGCCTGGGACACCTGGGTGGCTCAGTCAGTTGAGTGTCTGTCTTTGGCTCAGGTTACAATCCCAGGGTCCTGGGATCAAGTCCCACATCAGGCTCTTTGCTCAGCAATGAGCCTGTTTCTTCCTCTGCCTGCTGCTCCCCCTGCTTGTACTCTCGCTTTCTCTCTCCCCCGTGCTCTCTTTCTGACAATTTAAAAAAAAAAAAAAATCTTAAAAAAAAAAAAAAAAGAAACAGGGCTGCCTGGAATTTAGTGCCCATTTGTAAAAACAAAAAACCACCCAATGTCCCACTCCTCACGAGCTTTTGGTCAGTCCGAAGTGTGTGGTGGGTTAGGAAGGAACCCCAGCTTAGAAGTCTTGGTGAGAACCTTCCCTTGGCTGTAGGGAGGGCATTTAAGATTGGTCTGGGGGGGGGTGCCTGGGTGGCTCAGTGGGTTAAAGCCTCTGCCTTCGGCTCAGGTCATGATCCCACGGTTCTGGGATCGAGTCCCGAACTGGGCTGTCTGCTCAGCAGGTTGCCTGCTTCTCCTTCTCTCTCTGCCTGCCTCTCTGAGGCTTCCCACACCCTCACCATTCCATGTCTGGTACTGTTAGGGTCTGTGATCAAAGGAGTGAGACTGATACAAAGCGAAGGTCAAGCAAAGCTTTATTTCGCGCCAGCACCGAGAATCAAACTGACCGGTCAGGGCGCTCTCTTACAGAGAGGCGACCCCTCCCAGCCTCACAGACTAACTTTTATAGAGCAAAGGCCATGTGGTTGAGCCTGGCCACACACAGGTGGCCAATGAGATTGTAAAACACAGAGAGAGTTGCATAGTCATGCTAGGTCACACATGGGTGGCCAAGTGAATTACAATTCACCCCATAGTAGCTATTTGAACTAGCCTATCACCTTGGTCAGGATTGGCATCCAAATTTGGTGCCCTAAAGGCAGGGCCCACATTCTTTGGTAGTTAGGGAGACAGTATGTGCCCTTTACTGATTGGATGTCTCCACCTGGCCTGACTCGTCCTTGTATTCTGTATTTTACTGGTTTCCTGGACTTGCTTCTAAGTAAGTTCCTCTGGGGAGCCAGGGTCAGGTTAGGTTTTACTGCACAAACAACAAAATGGCTATTTAACCGAGATGGATTCGCTCTGGCTAAGTAGGCCCTTACAGTATAACCGAGAGAGTCTCTTGGCTTGGCTTTCCCTTGATTTCTCCGTCTACAGGAGTTCTGGCTGGTCCACTGAATTTCCTTCTTCATGCAGGCCCAAGAGATGAAGGGATATTGAACTTTCCATTCCTTTCTGGAGTGTAAAAGACTCCTACCTTGGTTGAGAGTGTTGGTTTCTGGTTCTCTTCTATTTTGCCACAAGGTGAGGCCAGCCTCATCACTTTAAGATGTTTGGTTATTTTTCTGCTTAGTGCAAACTGTTTTCATTTTCCTCTGGACATACAACAGAAATCCATTTCCCAGCTCTCTTGTATCTCGGTGGCATCATGTGACTTCTTTGGGTTGATAGGATTTAAGCCTAGACCATGACTTCACTTCCTGTCCATGTAGCAGGACACAAAGGACTTGAAGATGGCAGAGACCCGTAATGAAAGAGCCCAGATCCCTAGGAGCCAGCCTCAAGGAGAGCCACTCCAGAGAGCCAGGAGACTCAAATCAGATGTGACATGAGCAAGAAACATACATCTGGTTATTAAGCCCCTTAGCTTTGGGAACTGTTTCAGAAGGAGGCTCTGTGTCTGTGTGGCAGTCATTTTTAAGATTTTTTGGGTCTCACTAGTAGAGATGGCAATATCATACTTATCCCATAAGATTGTTGGGAAAAGCTCAGCTTACGTGACACAGAGAAGTGCTTTATTACTTGCACGGTGTTACACAAATGTGGGGTTCCATGAAGCTTCTTGTGTTCTTCAATTTAGTAAATAGTAATGTACCATTTACTCAGCTGCCCAAGCCAAAAGTCTTAGATTTGTCCTTTCATCTTCTCTTTCTCTCACATGTATTCAGTGTAACATAAAGCCTTTTCTTTATTCTTCCTTCAAAAAATATCCCAAATCAGACTGCTTTCCACCACCTCTCCTGCCTTCGTCTTAGTTGAGATGTCCTTCATCTTTCACCTGAATCCATGCCCCAGCTCTCAGCTGAACTTCCCGCCTCCATTCTTGCCTCATTAAATCTATTCTCCCTACATAGCCAGAAACGTTCTTCTGCGCATTAATCAGATGATGTTCCTCCCTTGCTCCAGATCCTCGTGGCTTCATCTCATCCTTAGGATAAAACCTAAAGTCTTCCTATGTCCCACGAGGCTCTACCTGACCAGGGCAACTCAGCTCATTCCCTATACTTCTCTCACTTGCCCACAGCTGTCCTTGAGCTCTTTGCTCCGGCCCTCATTTCATACATGCCTAGACTCAAAGGGCAATTCCCCACCTGCCCTGTGGGTATGAAAGCAACTCACACCCTCCCGGGCCAACAACTCGCGAGCCCCTCATGCTGCCTTATCCATGGTTCCTAAAAATACCTGACGTGGCACTCAACAGTTTATTACACGTTGGCTGTCTCCTCACCTGGAACGTAAATTCCATGGGCACAGGGGATTTTTTGGTTCGCCCTTGTATCTCCAGCCCCTAGATGAGGACCCGGGGCATAGTTGGTTCTTACTTGATGTGTTCAGAAGGCATAGAGCCCATCACACCTTCCTCATTCCAACTTCAGTGACTCTTTTTTGAGCTTCAGACCTGGTTGTTGCTCACTCTGAATGACTCTCCTTTGAGAGGTGTTTACTTATGGATAGTATCCGAATACTATAATAAACATTTTTTAAATGTACCATGTGTTTTTTTTTTAATAGGCTTTATTTTTTAGAGTAGATTGTGGCAAAATTGAGCAGACACTACAGAGATTTTCATACATCCTTTGTCCCTACACCCATGCACAGCCTCCCCCACATTCTACACCCTGCACCACAGTGTCCATTACACTCAAGGAGCGTACACTGACACATCATTATTGCCCAGAGTCCATAGGTTACATTAAGGTCCCCTCTTGGTGTTACATATCTTATGGGTTTGGAAAATGTATAATGGCATGTGTCCACCATTACTGTATCATACAGACTATATTTACTGCCCTAAAAATTCTCCATGCTCAACCTATTCATTCCTCCTTTACATTGTTTCTGTAGTTTTGTCTTATAGTTGGAGTGACTCTATAGTAGTCATATAGTTGTGACTCTGTAGTCACTACTACAGTGACTCTATAGTAGTGACTCTATAATAGTCATATAGTGACTCATATAGTAGGAACCCTACAGTATGTAGAATTTTCAGATTAGCCTCCTTGACTTAGTGATATGAAGTTAAGTCTCCTCCATGTCTTTCTATGGCTTGATAGCTCATTTCCTTTTAGCACTGGGTAATATTCTATTGGGTGTACCAGTTTACCCATTTACTATGTGATTGATTTTTGATACAGATTTTTAATTTATTACGGGATGGAATTTATGTATTGTAATATATATTTCCCTCATTCTCCTCCCAATCCCATCCAGTTGCCTAAGTCAGGCCCTGCAGGGAGAAGAGTCTCAATGAACCCAAGTGAAAGCCCCACTTAATCTGCCCATAACCCACACACTCAAGTGTGCCTCTCTATGTGGAGCACAGTTTTCTTGTTTGATTTCACGTTGCATGTTAATTCTAATGGCTCCCTGATGGTGTGTGTGTATGTCTCATCTGAGCAAAAACCCCACACAAAGCGAAAACCCCAAGGCACTGCCCTACCTACCTCAGTCTTGCTCTGTACCCATTCTGTATCTATTTCTAATTTCTTCTTAGGATGAACAACACGACGGGGTTTTTTGACTTCTGTCACAGACTCCTGGACTTCGGGTGGCTGATTCCATAATTGAAATGTGAAAGTAGAAATATCTGGGCCTGCTGCAGTGGTTTTGGGGTTGAGTAAGTCTGAGAGAGAAGAGAAAGAAAGTTTAGCTCAATCTTTCTCAGGGCACCAAAGAGAGGGCGAGGGTTTGAGATACTGACCCTATCCGCCCAAGTAACGAAGGCTGCCCGGTAAATAGAAAGAGTAAACCTTTGGAGAGAAATGTAGGCGTTGAATTTCCAGCTTTCTCATTTTCTGCATTCATTCATTCAACATATATTTATCAAGACCTACCGTGTGCCAACCACACCGTACTGAAGACCAACCAGGCCAGACTTGGGGATCCTGGGGGTGATATGCCAACCCCATGCCACTAACGATTGGCTGCTAAACTGTTCATTTAAAAAATAGGCCAAAGTGGGGCATCATTAAAAAAAAAAAGGAAACATACTCTAAACATGCTATTTTACCTTAAAACCTAAATGTATATTAGCACGCCATTTTGAAATGAGGGCAAGGTCTTTCCTTTGTGGGTGGATCTGATGACGGGCTCTGCGGTCATTTTTGCTCAAAGCATGTTCATAATTTATTATCTATAATTTTCAGTTTTGGTAGTTTCTAAATAGTCTGAATGCAGAATCATGGACTTTTAAAAGTTCTAGCTATTCCTCAATTTTTTTTTTTTGTTAAATCTTCATGCTTAGAAATTTCCGAACTTTTTTTTTTAAAGGATTTTATCTACTTATTTTGACAGAGAGAGATCACAAGTAGGCAGAGAGGCAGGCAGAGAGAGAGGGGGAAGCAGGCTCCCTGCTGAGCAGAGAGCCCAATGTGGGGCTTGATCCCGGGACCCTGAGATCATGACCTGAGCCGAAGGCAGAGGCTTTAACCCACTGAGCCACCCAGGCGCCCCTTTTTCTCAATCTTTAATGTATGTTTTGTCCACATCTAATTTAAAGCAGGTTTTTAAAAAAGCTATTTTCCTATTGAGTTTTTTTTTTAAGCATTCAGCTTTTTTTTTCACAGCATAAAGTTTCCTTTTATCATCATTTCTGTCCATTTTGATAACCATTGAATTTTGGAACTAAATGAGGAGGGCCGCTGAGGAGCAACCCCGCTCCCAGTGACTGTCCACAGGCATCAGACAAACAGCCAGAACTGAGGGACCAGAGCGGCCCGGTTCCCTTGGCAGCTAACTGGGCCAGGGGTAGTGGGGGGGTTGTGTCAGTTAAGAGAGCTTCCTTGTCCCACCACTGGGGTCAGCACTGTTGGAGGAGGTCAATGGGAGCACGTGATCACCGGTTGACCTCTGACGTAGAGCCAGGCAATCAGAAACTCCTCACCTGCTCCCCATCCTTGGAATGTGCCTTCTGCCCGCCAGCCCTTCCCACAGCCAGAGCCATTTTCAAGGCTTTTCAAGGCCTTGAGAGCTGCGTGGAGTTGAGACCTGGGACTGAACCCAGTGCAGGCTTCTAGGTCAACTTGCAAGATCCTGGCAGGCGGGTGTGGACATCTACTTGTCTCTCGGCTGCCCAAGATGAGCCTCAGAAGTAAGTTCTCTTGCTTATTGAGACGGCCACCGACCAGTCTGGAGAGGGCTTTCTTGAATCTCTCCTTGGCCTCCAGTTTCTAATTTCACCTGGAGCCCTGCCAAGGTGCCCCCAGGGGCCAGGAGAGCTCCCAGGAGGGGACCCAAGGAGGCCTGGAGGCTGAGGAGACAGCCAGGGAAGTAAGCTTCTGACAGGTGAGGGGAGTTCACAGTATAAGCACGGTGCCGTGGAAGGCCACAGTGGGACAGTTAGAGGTGACCGGTGACTTCAGGGAGTCAGGGCATTCCCTTGATCACTCATTTAGTAAAGATCTGTGTACCTGGGGCCCAGAACTCTCCTCGGTATTGGGGATTGCTGTAGTCCCTGCTTTCCATTCTAGTAGAGGAGGTTGATGCTAAACAAGTGAGCGGATACAGCTTAACATGCCAAATGGCTGGGAGCACTTTGAAGAAAAGTCAGGCGGGGTTAGAAGGGTGGAAAATGTGTGTGTGTGTGTGTGTGTGTGTGTACACACGCGTGTAGGTGTATGCGCACTGGCTTATAAAGGGTAGCCATGGAAACTATTTCTGAGAAGGTGACAGTTAAGCAGAAACCTGAATAAAGTGAGGGAGCAATCCACAGGGATATTGAAGCCAAGAGTGCTCTAGACAGAGGAACAGCAAGTACAAAGGCCCTGTGGCAGGGGATGCCTGGCCCATTCCATGAAGAACAAAAAAACCAATGTGTCTGGAGAGGAAGAACTGAGGGCTTTCTAAGCCATATGAGGAAGGTGGGCATTTTCCTGGAGGCAATGGAGGGCCAATGAGGAGTTTGAAAAAGATTATTCAGAAAACAGTACAAAGGAAGGACTGAGAGAGGAGAAGAAGGGAATCAGGGAGACTAGGGAGAGCTCCTTCCCGGGAGAGATGAAGGTTTTTGAGGTAGAGTCAGTGAGAATGGGGAGGGGTTGCTGGGGGATGGGAGGAGAATCTAGAACCATGGCATGTCTGAGGAACTAAAGTGCCCACCAAGTAGAGCTCAGAGAGGCAGAAACGGGTGTCAGGGCAGGGTCATTTGGAGACCTGTGTAGGAAGTTTGGAAGCAGGTCTCAGTCTCCCTGTGAGGAGCACCTTCCTGCTCTAGTACCTGCTTACAAATGATAATGATTTGTCAGAGGGGAAAAGCGACGTGAGCCCAGCTGTGGTTCCTGACTGTCCATTAGAAATTAATAGAAAGCATTTCAGAAAAAGGTGAAGGTAAAAAAAGACATTTATATGTTCATTTTGTTTCCCTGTCAGAATGCTAAAATCATGGACACTCTGGTCTGAGCTGTACTCCAGCTCTGCCATGATGAGGGCGAGGCTTTAGACCACCCTTCCGAGCCTCGGTTCCCTTAAAATAGGATGATGCTTTCCATAGAGACCTATGGAGTTGCTGTGAATATTGCCTGCTGGGTGCCAGCCGCCCGGGGAGTGTCCATAGATCTGTGGACTTCACGCAGGGAGCTTTGAATTTTGACAGTTCATGAATCAGGCTGTGTAGTACTCTCCCACCTCTTTTCCCAGACGACATGGTTCTGAACAAGAAAGGCTACGTAATTTGAGAGGCCCCATGCAAAATGAAAATGCAGGGGTCTTTGTTCTAAAATTATTAAGAATTTCAAGACAGCAACAGCAGCGGACATTAAACCAAGCACAGGGCCTTTCTAAGTATGGGGCCCCAAGGGACTGATCACAAGTCCCACACCCATACACCCAGCCTGGGCTCAGAAATCGGAGTGTGCAGAGACTTGGGGCTGTGTGCCTACAATAGGAAGGGTCTGCCTACTGGAAGTAAATGAGTTTATATCTCAAAGAGGCTGGGAGGTTTCTTTGGGACTGGTTACAAGAAGAGCGCGAAGGGGTTGCCTTTTATCTATTTGAAATGTTGCTCTTTTTGTTTGTCTAAAAAGCTCAAACCTTCTAGGCTTCAGCTGTCCAGAGGAGCAGGGAGTGGGCAGGAGTGGTGGTGAGGCACTATGGGAATCTGGCCGTATCAAATCTCATTTGCTAGTTGGAAGTCCTACCCTGGCCATGTGACAGTGGAGTATCCTGGTAGGCCTTAATTCCCCACAGGAACAGACAAAATCATGCATGCCTACACCATCAAACAAAACACTTATTGAGTGCCTACTGTGTGCTTTGCTTGAAGGTGCCAAGGGATGAAAGGCACAGTTGTCTACAGCCCAGAGGGAACAGAGCTATGAGCAGTAGACAAGTATAGCATTGAAGTGGAAGAGATTTTTGTTGTGTTTGGCAGCTGAGCATCTGAACCCCCCTCCTTGTTTTGGGGGCACCCCACTGTGTGAGTCTTGGTGAAAGGCAGGGGCTTCTTACTATGGAAATTGAAGGTAGCCATTCTTCTCCTTGCCTCCTAACCCCAGTGAGGACATGAGAGCTAGGCTTAGAAGGCCCCCACTTTTTCTTCTCCAGACACACTGGCCTTTTGTTGTTCATTGAATATGCCAAGGGGATGAGCCCCAGGTTTGGCCTGAGAGGTCTTGGGCAGAATGTGGCTTGTGCCCACACAATGGCTGGATGATCTCAGGTTAAGTCTCCTCCTTGCCTCCCTGAGCCTTAGCTGCTTTATCCTGCTTCACGTGGTTAGGAAGATTATTCGAATCATATGGAATATGTGAGAGAACCTAGTCCACAGCAGTTACTCTTGAAGAGTGAGGTCAGGGGCATAAATTGGTGTTGGGGGACAGGAACATGGTCTTGGGAAGGAATCTGAGGCCCAGCGAGAAACTGGTTATGACTGGTTAGCTATGTCTGCCATGGGTATTCTTACCATTTCTACGTTAGTTGTATCTAGTCATCTGAAAGGTAAGTGGTGGCTTTGAGTTTCTGAATGAAGTAGGCTCACAGCTTAGGCTCTTGGCCCAAGTTTTCACAATGAGACTTAAAGACATTGACAACCTCCATGATTGGCAAATCTTAACAGCTGGACGTAGATGCATTCAGTATCTGATCTAGGTAGCCCCTCAAATCTAGGTTAAATCCTTTCCTATGGGCTGCATAGGCTCTTCTTCCCACTCTAGTACTTAACCCTTGCATATGTGAATGCCCCTGCTTTCTTATCTATCCTCATCCATGCCCCCCAACCCACCGCAAAAAGGATAAGCTAGCCCCAGACTGTGTCCATCTTGCTTGATGTTTTATCCCTGGCAGCTAGGACCTTGCAAACCCAGTAGGTGTTTAAGCTAGGCAAGGAGCATTTCTGCCTCCTTTAGGATACATGGCAGAAGGTGAGAGGCAGCCAGATTCCCACAGGAGAGCTGATCACAGGATGGAAAATGGGAGAGAGGTCCTTACTTTCACGTTTCTTCATAATCCAGAGAATCATTGTTCTGTATTTTTCAAAATTTTTCTTCAACCTAAAAGGAATGTGAATTACCTTTAAAAGCTGGGACTATCAGGCTCTCTGCTCAGCAGGAAGCCTGCTTCCCTTCCTCTCTCTCTGCCTGACTCTCTGCCTACTTGTGATCTCTGTCTGTCAAATGAATAAATAAAATCTTAAAAAAAAAAAAAAAAGCTGGGACTAAACTCATGTGTTGTACATGTCATGCTATGCATTGTAGACAATGCTAGAGCCTCCCGGGTGTTTTTCATCGCTGAAAAATCGGGCCCCTGGCTCTGCTTTCAGACTCTGTTTTTCTTCCAGTCAGGACTCAGGAATAAAGGGACAGCACATGGTATAGACTCAGTGCTTGCCTCCTGGACTCTAAGCTGACCCCCAAACCATTCAAAATGAATTTAACAAGGGTCCTCAGGAGCTGGGACAGGGCTGGGAAGTCGAAATGCAAGGCTGGCTCTATGAGTTAAGCTCACGTAGGTCGGATCTTTCAGTGGCTTGTGCATATCCCAGGGAAGGTTACATTTGCAAATAGCTGGGAGGAACAGCCCTGCAGAGTCACTCAAGACCCCTTTGCATGGAGTGGAAACATTTCCAATAATCTTATTCAAAATGGCTTATCATGAAAGCCACACTGAGGTACAGCTCTTCAGAGGGATCAAGCCCTTACCCCCTTCACGTGTCCATATACAAAGCAAGTCATCTTGGGACTGCAATGGCTGGGACTATTTTACTTCTAAATAAGGGTAGTCTCCAGGATGCTTCCTGGTTCTCAGATCACAGCTCCTTTGAAAGGGAATGTGTTGGAAAGAGTGAGCTTCCCAGGCTTAACTGGATCTGAGAAAGAAGAAGGCTTTTGACAGGATAGATTTTAAGTTCTCAGTTTGGATTCCTCGAGGGGAGAGGAATAATTTAACCTCAGGTAACTCCAGGAAGCAAATGCCTTTTGCTGGGAAGGGCTGAGCTGCTTTCCCTGGCAGGGAGCAGGTTTCCTGTTTGTACTTTGGAAGCAATGGTGGAACTTGAGAACGAGCTCTTCATGGCCCATTTGTATCGAACATTTTTTGTTTTATCTATGAGCACTTTGAGTGGAATTAAAGCAGTTACCTAGCCCGCCATCCTCTGTGAAAGAATAAGGACCGAACTGGGGGTGGGGCGAAGCCTGACGTACAGGCTGAGAGCAGGAGGCCAAAGGTATGCAAGAGTAAACTCCAGTGAGGGGACCCAGCCAGAGGCACCCAAGGCCCTCTGGGAGATGTTGCTCCCTTGGCTCCTCGCCTACCTTTCCAAGCTGATGGAATTCTTGCCAGCTAGCTCCTCAACAGCAGAGACTCTGAGATACACACTGCTCTATTGATCAGCACCCAGTAGATCAGCACGTAGTAGGTGCTCAGGAAATACGTGTTGAGTGCAGTAAGATTAGAATGAACCTTGGTTATGGACTTCAATGGGATGGAACAGGTTGGGGAAATGTCACATAGGAGGCAAGATAACTCACATGGAGGTTACTCTGCATTTGTTTTTGTAGCTGTGTAAGGATCTGAAAGCTTGGATGGTCCTTGTGTTTTGCTTCCTAGAGAAGCCTCGGGGGTCTCTGGCTCCAGGAGTCTACTGAACCCAAAGCAGAAGTCTTGGTCTTTGTGGAAGCTTCAACTCCTCAAGGAGGTTATGTGGGGCACCCTGTGTCCCTACAGTCTGTTCCTTGGTACCATTGCCAGAGTCTGCAATAGATGCACAGGAGGCCTGAATGTTCTTCTTGCTTGCTAAGGTTTCTGGTAGTTGAATAAATGAAAATTCAGGTTTCCACGCATCACAGACTGGAAGTACAAACAGAGTTTGGGAGCATTTTGTGACCTGGGACCATGAAAACTAGGAAGACTTGGTGCCAGGAAGTGTGGAATAACCTTATTTTTCCCCACTCCGGTTGGAGATTCTGGCCATGACTCCCACGTCGGTGCAGCTCATGGCTTTTCTCACTCCAGGGGGCACAGAAGAGCATTGGCTAACCTGTGATGCAGATGCCTTGATCCTCCATTGTCCCCTCTCTTACAAGGCCAGGTCTCTGATCCTTGCTCCCTAGACTTCTGTATAAACTCATGGTCCCTCTAAGACTTTTCTAACCCCAGATTTCCATCCCCTGTCACTGCCAGCCTTTGATACTATCCCGAACCTTCCACACTTATAAATTTCCTTGTTCTTGGCTTTTGGCAGCCAGATCATTCTGTTCCCCTGCCTGCTGAACTTGCCCTTGCTCTTGCGCCTGCTCTTTGACTCAGGGGACCCGCCTGGCCCTGCTCTTTTCTCTATGCTGGCCCAATTTAGACTTTCCCTGCTGCTACTGCCAGCCTGCCTGAACCCACTGACCCATAGCTTGATCCCTCCTGTCACTTACAGAATTCCCAGTTTCCTTCTGGTTTCACTCTCCAGAAGTCCGGTCAGGGGGACGTCAATATCCTCTTCCTGTTCTTTGCGAGCCGCCATTTCTTTGAGCATGGTCCTAAACACTGCCTGATAGGAGGTGCTGTGACGCTACAGAAAGGACAGAATGAAAGACCCAGAAAAGGGGAATTAGCTTACCGGTGAAGCTCTTTTCTGACTCCCAAAGGCGACATGTGAGATTTCAACATGCTACTAGAAAAACGCGAACAGTGGGAACAGTAGAGTGGCTGGCAAGATTTGTTTTAAAGAATATTTCCATTATCCTCAGACTCCACACTCCCCAATTCACTCAAGATTGATTTGTTTGTTTTTCAACACAGCATGCCAAGAAATCTTTTCAGAGCATAAAACTACCCTTTTTCCGAATGTGGAGATGGGTATAGAACATAAAAACACCTCCACGATTTAACAGCGTAACAGGCTCTCTGAGTTGCAGGAAAGGCCTGGTAGGAACGGTTGCTTCCCTATGAAGGATGGCAGTCTCAGGAAGGCGGGGTAGGATCTAGCATGTTATAGAAGTGGACAATTCTGCCAAAGCAATGACCTTGCCAGCTGCCTTTTGATTTTGTAAATTGGAGCATCTGTGCCAAGTCTGTGAAGCTAATGACCATGACTGACTCATAGGTGAGTCCTCACTGGAGTTTCTTTTCTGGATCCCTTTGGACAGAGGGGAAATCCAGCTTGCTGTCGAAGAAAACCAGGGCGCTTTCAGGTTGCCCTGCTTGCCTGCAGGCTGAGGCTTGATGGTGCTTGGGCAACACTTGATCATGTATAGCAGACCATTAACTTATCAGCCTCCTGTCAGAAGCGGAAGGCAGACAGAGCCAAAGTTGCGTGTGAGCTGGGATAAAGATAAGAAAGTAGCCTGTGGTTGACCAGATTTTCTAGGTTTGGGGAAAAGCTGAGGTGCCTCCAGTCTGGCTTGCCCAATTCCCAGCCTCTGCTTGTGCCTCTCCCATCGCTGGTGTTAATTAAATTAGCAGGCTGTTCCACGGAGGTGGCTCAAATGTAGCAGGGCCTAGGTGAGCAAACCAAAATCTTAGCCTACAGATGTCTCAAAGTTATGAATCAAAACCTAAGGACAACCAATTCCAAGCAGCCAATTAGGTCTTAAGCGATGGCCAATCATAAACGTCCTTGCTCCGCTTCTGCCTCTTCTTGATAAACGCTTCTCCCCCCAGCTCCTGCCAGTGGAGCTCTCCTAACCACTTCCACTTTGGGGATGCACAGTTCCGATCAATATATGCTCAATAAAAATGTTTTATATGCCTCAGTTTATCTTTTAACACTGGAGTCAGTGCTTCAGAGCAGGGCGAGGTTAAGGCCCAGGGTGCCAGTATGTCTGCCCCTAAACTCCTCATGGTTGACAGCTCAGCCCGTGGGATGGAAAGACTTCCTGTTTGCCTAGACCAGCGATCTCTCACCATCCCCTTCGGATTCAAAATTTGAAAATATGATGAGAAAATATGATGCCAACCATGGTCCAGCAGGCAACAGACCCATTGGATGGGCCTCGTTGAAGTTCTCATCCCATCTAGGCGTTGCCACCCCATTCAATTTAACCAGCACACGTGGCATCTTAGAGGTTTACCCCATTTGCGTCCCCTGCCTGTAGAGTAGAACTGTCCTCCTCATCGTGGTAGGTGTATCGAGTACCCCAGTGATGAGTTCTCCAGGCCCAGAGACTCCTCCAGGGGGAATCTCTGGTTCTTACAACAAAAAGCATTTTCATAACAAGGTTTGTGACACATGGGCGTGTCATAGAACTAAAACAAGCATGTATAGTGAACTAAAAAGAGCAAAGGTGCTGAACTGTCAGAATAACCCAAAGTATAGGTTGATAGCATCTATCCAAAGAGAAGGACTTCAGCTCCCTCTCTTTAGTTTGTACCTCTGTGGTTTCTGGTATTCCTCCAAAAGGGGCCTCAAAAGGCCACGCAAACATGTTGTTGAGCTTCAGGGACCATGCGGCATTTATTCCGATCTTTCTCTCCTGCTCTGGGCCCACTTGTCCACATCTGCCACCTATGATGTTTCTCGAAGTACTGCTTTCCAAGCTGGACAGCTGCCTATTGTAAGAACGCCAGCATCTGGGCAGGGGGCTGTGTAGCCCAGCGGTCACTGAGCCCTCCCAGGGCACCATGTACAAGCACACAGGCCATTGTCTCCCCTCTGCCTGGGACTGCAGCTCCGGCCGCCACAGCGAACCTCTGCTGACAGGCACGCTGACAGGTTCTGAATAATTTAAGTTTCTAATTAAAACAATTCCTTGAGATTTCAGCTCTTGCTGAACAACCTTTCGAAAATGCCTGAGCTTACTTTCCTATCCTAGTAAACCCAGTGAGGTGAACTTGAGTTCCAGAAATTGTTTTTTCTCCCTTTAATGTGGTTTTCCAATATTTGAAAAGCAATTCTTACTAATATGATGTATACAGAAGCAGCTGTGGACAACAAGAAATTTAGGGCTAAATACAAACTGAGACCAGAAATTTTCCTAATTAAAAAAAAAAAAACAAACCCAAATACTTGCCTTTTCTTTTCTTTTCTTTTTCTATTGTAAATTTAGAAAAATAGATCTTCTCAATTTTGAGTTCCATGGACTCAAGATTTTACTCTTGTGATTGTAGTTAATACTGAGAAATTTTCTCAGAGAAACTTTCCTAAGAAAGTTTCTTAGCCATAATGGAAAGGATGCATATTAATGTTTCCGTCTGCATCAACATGCATTGTAAGTCTTAGAAGTAAGTTAACACAGGAGGTTAGAGCCACCAGGCTGTACCAGCAGATAAAATATTCATGCAGGCAAGACCGTGTAGCATGCTGTAGACGTAAGGCTTATTTAAATTATTATGACTTCCCATCTCCCGTCTGATTATGGGCTCCAGCTGGGGAAAGGACGTCCCTTGACGCTCGGGGATGGTTCTGCACCCTCTGCAGGTGGTAGCGGCAGGTGACAGATCTGGGGAGGGTCATCTGCTGCTAGTTGCCGGGGTGTCCACTTGGGTGGCAGCGGCTGTTGTCTCCAGCGTCTGTCTTGCCAGGCTGCCTCATTCCTGGCTCTTTGGTCAGAGATAGCAGGTGTTCCTTGGGGCTTTTGTTGTCTGTGCCTGTTGGGGTTTCCGAGTTGCTGTCTTGCAGCACTTCATTGCCGGGGAGAGATGAAGCAGAACAAAAACCCAGGGAACTCACTGCCATGTCATCCCTTGGGTCCTGTGGTTCCTAGCCAGTCCGACTTCTGTTCACTTTCCAGAAGCTTCTTCTGTTTGTTTTATAGGTAATGTCGCAGGGTTTTAAGCTGTGCTAAGTGGGAAAAGTACATCTATTGCCTCTTTCTGGAATTGAACTTCATTTTTACTGAGGGTTTCTACAAAGACGAATTTGCCTTGATAGATAGATAAATTAAATGTTTTGTTTTGTGCTTTGCCACCTTCAGATGTGATCTGGACAAACACACAGGAGTGTGTTTCTGTTATCAGCGGGGCTCTGGAAGTAGGGCTGTGGAATGCTCCATTTGGTTTTCCTCTGACCCACTTTGATGTAATATGTGTCATTTAAACTTACTTCTGTTTTAAGAAAAGCTCTCTTGGGCTGTGCTAATAACAGAGAGAAGCTAGGAATCCCTGTGCTCTTGGGACAGCTCCCACCGGGCCTCAGGCCACCCTGCCCCATTTGGAGGATGGTGGTCTTTGACTTACCTTCTCACCTGGGGCCTCAGCTTCCAATGAGTCAATGGGCTCATTTAATAAATCGTTCAAAAAGTTCTCTTTAGTAACAAAATCCAAGACTTCTGATTTTGGAAGGCACAGCAGAAAGAAAGGCATTTGGAAAAAGAATCACAACAGGAAACAGACAAAAAACCAAAAGGAAACAGAGTTATGGCATTTATCCTTGCCTGTTTAAATAAAAATGCATGCATCATTGTTAAGACTTGAAGTAAATTGACCAAATAACCCAAAATTTAATGGGGGGGGTTATTAGTAAAATAGGAACAAAAGGGTCAGTTTCTGTGGCTGACTTTAGAAAGTGTGTGTTCCTGATGGACGGCAAAAGTTCACCTGAGGAAGTAACATTTGAGTGGGTCCTGAATGAAGGAAAGCAATGAGCAAGGAGGCAGATAGCTGGGAAAGAATATTCCTGGCAGGGGGCTAGGAGGTGCAAAGTCCCAGTGGTGACAGTGGGTGGGAGTGTGGTTGACATAATTGACAAACTGTAAGAGGCAGAGTATTCCTGGAGAGGAGGGAGTGTGGAGAGTAGCAGGAGTGGAAATGGGATGAGGTATAGGGCCATCTGTAGTGTGGCAAAACCCCACCTTATACCTGCAGAGGACCCCGCAGACTATGGGAAGGATTTTAGTTTTATTATGGAAGAGGTCTATTCTGAGTGTGATTTTCTCTTGGAAATCCTGAGAAATTTTCCTATCTCTTGCCAGTTTTGTAAAAAATTGCCCATTTCTACACTTGCATATGGGTTCATAATTGTGAATTAAAGCATATGAGATATATTCTCAATCCAGAGAGCTCATGAAGAGCCCTCCAGAGAGTAAATGCTTTGTTCTCAAGGTCAGCTACAGCCTGCTGTCTCTGGGCCAGGAGAGGGGCTTCGAGCCTCCAGTGTTGATGGGGTGAAAATTGAATCAAGGAATTGATAATTACAACTTGGACCCCATCTCCTGCTCCTGGGAAGGTGTGGCTCCTGAGGTGGGAGCTCGAGGACTGGCTCTCATGCGGTAATGGGATCCCTGGGGAAATTTCATCTTTAGGATGACAGCAGCCCCTTCAAGCTGGCCTGTCCAGAGAGCCCTGAAAATCCACCAGGCTGCTGCAGGGCGGATGTATTCTTTCTGATTTTGTGTGTCCATGACACCTTTGGAGGTGGAGAAGAGACATTCTTCAGGATCCCTCTACACGTGAACTTTGCATTTGTCCCCAGTTTTGGTTCAGTAATAAAAACTCTGTTGGGATAGAGAACGCCACTCGGCTAGATCTGCCTGCAGCCCCCCTACCCCAGCTTCGGTATGTCTCTGACAGAAACCTGACACGTCTGTGATAGACCCTGTGTGGGGAGAACCATTCCGGCAATTCCTTCTGTTAGTTCTCGCATGCACACTGGGGTTCTCCGAGCTGGCGAGGCACCGGGGCCCTTTCAGCTAGATTCCAAGAACACCATGCGTCCCCGGACTGCCTGCCCTGGAAATAGCGGAGAAGAGTTTGGAAAAGACATCTGGGAAAACCTGACAAGAATCCATGGGAATTCCGGTGAGCTCTGAGGAGGAAGCTCCTTTTGGGTGTCACCGGGGAGGAGAGGGGAAGGAACTGGGAGAGCGGGTCTGGACAGGCTGAGGGGCAGCACCTCCCATGTGAGATTTTTTCGAGTAAGTACCTGCCCTCGATTGGGAGCAAGAGTCTGGCTCTGGATCTAGTAGCTCAGCAGCCCCCCATCATTTGTGATTGCCTGTTTTAATAGGCTTTATTAAATAATACATAGTTAATTGGAGGGAACCCAGACTAGGTGTTTTTCAAGGGAAGAAGGTGACCCGGCAGTCCTGGATACTGAAGAGCACTGTTGAGAAGTGTTCGATTCGACATCATAATTAACCTTATTAACATCAGTGGGCACTGTCTACATGTCAAGACAAGCATAGTAAATATGCAGTAATTGTCATAACTGGGGCTGAACGAAAAGGAAAAGCTTTCTGCCTAATTAATTTTTCCTTTGGTGATTTCTCTCAACCTCTCCCTTTGTTCTAGTGAGATCATTATCTTCCCATGAAGTGACTCTACAGGTGGGGGAAGTGACAGGCCCTTGAGTGGTGTCCCCCAGCCCCTTAGCACTCTGGGCCCCTCATCTGTGTCATGGGAACAGTCAGGCTCGTCTTCAGGGTGGCGCACCAGAGCACTACCGTAGGTAAACGCCAGGTGTCCCCCATTCCCTCATGTACGGTGTGTCTTCTCTGCATCTGATCAAGAACAAATCTTAAATTTTTATCCATCCAATACAGTGCCTCTCTTCTAATGGTTCTTCCTGGCAGAACCGTAGTTCCCGAATTTGGGAGAGGTGTTTGAGCAGCGTGTGTCAGCCCTGTGGGGCAGATAAGGGCGGGGAGAGGGAGTATTGGACTGGCCTCAGGGCCAGCTCTGAAGAACGAGCAAGCCAGCGCTGTTGACAAATAGGCACACAGTGGCGACTGTCTGTTTCACCTCCTCCACCTTTCCTGTAGTAAATTCCTTTTTAGCCTCCACAGGTGGGTGGAGGGTTTGGCTGGTCTGGTGCTTGTTATGGGCACAGATCTATTAAGCTGTTCTCAAATCTTACTACTCAAAGTGTGGTTCATGGTTCAGCAACAGTAGCAGCTGCTGCTGGGAGCTTGTGAGAAATGCAGACCTACTGAGTTAGAATCTGCATTTCAACAAGATCCCCAGGTGGTCATTCCTTTTTTTTTTTTTTTTTTTTTTTAAGATTTTATTTATTTGTTTGAAAGAGAGAGAGCACAAGCAGAGCGAGCTGCAGGCAGGGGGAGAAGCAGAGAACCCAATGTGGGATTCGATCCCAGGACCCTGGGCTCATGACCTGAGCCAAAGGCAGACGCTTAACTCACTGAGCCACCCAAGTGTCCCCCTAGGTGATCATTCTATACATTAAAGTTTGAGCAGCATGGCTCTAAACTCTCCCTGGGAATGGGATAAGATGAAGAAATTATCTTGATCAGTTCCTGTCTGGGGGTGGTGGGCACTGGGTGGGATGCATTATCTAGAATCTGAGAGCTCATTTATTAAGCCACCTGTGTGTGTGAGACTTGATCCTCCCCTCGGCTCCCACCATGCTGAAAGACAAGAGATTGTAGTCCCTAAGTTGTCTTCTAATAAGATGGGCCTGGTTTATTGTGGGGCTTTTGGTTTATGGAATGATAGGTGTAAGATGGGATTTTGCCACCATAAGGATTCTCTCTTTTCTTTTCATAGGATTCAGTTAGGCCCTCCTTAATAAAGAATTAGAAGTCTCTAAAGTGCCATTTTTAGGGGTGCCAATTTATTCGTTTCCAAGGTGCTGTTGGATAAGTCTGTTTGGAGGGGCCCTTGCATCCCAGTCAAGCCCTGTTGCCTAGACCTTAGGTAGCCCAGACCTTCTTTAAATGTGGGGCTCCCTAGACCAGAGCTCTTGAATATAGAGATGGATTTCTGTCCCAGGTCATTCCGTCTTGCTCCAGAGACCCTCTCTCTTTCTTATCCTATCCCTCTTCTTCAGGAAAGGACAGCGAAGCGCATCCAAGTTCAGAGGCTACATGCCCAGCATGTCCCTAATTCCTCTCTAGGACTCAGTGCAAGCTGGACCAACAAGAGACCCACCCACGTGGGGCACTATTCCCAGCCCAGGACACTCTGCAGGGAACAGGGATCTTTGGATATTATGTTGGGTGCTTACCATTTTCTTCCCTCTGAGACACGTCAGGGATAACATACACTGAAAAATAATAAGAGCAATTATTAAGAGGATATGGTATGGCGAAATTATGGGGACTTTTAAGAGTTTATTTATTTGTCAGAAAGAGCACAAGTGGCGGGGGCGGAGGGCTGGGTGAGAGGCAGAGGGAGAGGGAGAGGGAGAAACAAGTTCCCTGCTGAGCAGGGAGCTCGATGTGGGACTCAATCCCAGGACCCTGGGGTTCATGACCGGAGCAGAAGGTAGACGCTCAACTGACTGAGCCACCCAGGTGCCCCTTATCTGAACCTTTTGGTGCCCAAGGGAATCAATTTAAAAAGGACATCCTAAATAGTGGGGAGACAAGGTGGAGATCATGTGTTTTGGAATAAGTAGCTTCCATAATCTTCAGCAGTCTGAGGCTTGTTGTTTAACACTCAACAAATATTGATTTCCCTCCCTTTGTTCATATTTCATCTTGCGCATTAGAATGTAAGTTCTGAGTACAACATAGGACTCTGTATGTTCTGCTCTGCTCACTACAAGCATGGCTACCCTCTGTCAGAGGGTGTGATGGTTTTGTCCATCTTATGTCCTGCCCCATCTGCAGTAGGTGTACAATAAATGTCAGTAGGTATACAGTAAGTATACCTTGGAATAAACTGAGTATGGGTAACCTATTATCTTTCCTTCTATAATTCCAGTGATGAATAATGTTTCCTCCTTCTTCAAAATTCAATTTTAATTCACATTTGAGAGCCCTTTGACCCTTTGGCTCAGTTTCTTCCCTGAGCCCTAAGCCCTGGAAATAATACCTTAACCACAGGCCTTAGTTAAGATGGCTTTAGTCTAAAATGGTCAAAAGGAGGTCTCTCTCTGGCTGGGAGCAGGCTGATTCCGTTTTGCTTACCTTCTCGTGGGTAGATCGGCAACTTTCACAAGTCATTTAAAATCATCATCAAATTATAAAATGTAAATACCTTCTGAACTGGACTTTAAAGAGGGGAACGTGGTTATTGACATTTCTTGTCCAGTTTTCATTTTTGGTTTTACAGGTGCTGTTAGAAGACAGAAGAAGGAGACCACTTAGCGATTTTAACCTCCCCTTTTCCAGGGGGTTCATAGCAGACATTTTGGACCTGAGGGTCTTCCTTGGTGCCCAAGGCTGATCCACAGAGGCGAGGAGCGCCTTGGAGGTCACCGAGGCCAAGTACTGGGTGGGTCCCCTGGCTCTCCTCTTTAGTTTTGTTAACTTACTGGAATTTTGTAGTCCCTGTTCCTTTCTGCACCTCCCCCCACCTTCCCCTCTCCCTAAATGCATGTGTGCACACACCCTAGGGACACCAGTCTTCAGAGCAGATAGTGGCAGACCAGTGGTGAAAAAGCAGAGGCAAACCATGCCATCCTCTCCTGGGGGTGGTGGGATTCAAGCCTGGCCTGAGGTGCCTGGATGAGAATTCTCCCACACATGAGCTGTGTCATGGCCTGCTGGTTCCTCAGCTGGGGCTGAGCCCCATGCAGACAAGGAACTCTCTGGCTTTTAAGAAGATTCATCCCACTGTGGCAGTAGGAACCATTTCATTTTCTTAACATAGTTCCCTGAAGGTGGTGGTCTTAGTCTAACCATTCAGGACACACGTGGAAAGTCAGGTCTCATTTTCATGTGGCAGATTGTCAGCTAGGTGAAGGCAGTCCTACCTCAGAGCCATGGGTCTTCCAGGCTTACCATCCCCCCACCCCCAACAGTGCCTGACTTAGTCTCTAGGTCTGCCTCCTGCCACTCTCTCCCCTGAGCCCGCTCCCAACTCTCTGGAGCGCAGCAGCCCCCACACTGACAGGTGTCCTGGGGCAGGCCCTCCAGTGCAGGCTAAAGCATGGATAGAACCTTTGAATTGTATCTGCTTACTTTAGCTTTTCTGGCACTCAGCTCAGTGATGCCACTGAGCTGTTGAGCTTGTGGATGGGTAAAGTATCTACAACAAACAGGGCTTCCCTACCCTGTTCTTTTCTATCCTATTATTTGTGCGGGCCCAAGAACAGGATCTAATAGAGGTTGGCCTTGTCTTGTATCTAGTTAGTTCCTGTTCAGTGTTTCCGCCTGTCAAGATCTTCTAGGATTTGATGACATTATTCCCATCAACCAACAGCTTCAGGTCACCTGAAAATATAAATACTCCTCCTACGTCTGTGTCCAGGTCTATGAAAAAATGTTGTGCCGGACAGAGCCCTGGGTCTTCCCACTGGAAACAGCGTTGACTCTGATCTTTCAGCAACATCTCTGGGTGGTTACTCAACAGTTATCCTTCTAGTATCTTCCACAAGCATCCACCTAATATTTCCCTATCTTGTCCACAGCAGCATCAGGAAGGCTTTGAAAATGAAACCCATTGTGGAATTTGGGTCTACTGGGTTATCACTGTTCCCTTATCTACGAACTTTGTCCAAAAAAGTGACCTAAAGCCAGTATTACTTGATTTGTTCTTATTGATCTTACACTGGTTTCTTGTGGCCCTTCTGCTCTCAATATTTGCCCTGAATTGGCCCCAGACTAATTTCCCAATTCCCCAGAAACCATAAACGTGGTTAAGCTTCTCTTGCTCTCTGGATACTCTGGTGGGTATTTTATCCAAGGCAGGACACAGCAGTTAACCATTCCCTTCTATCTTCTCATCAGTCTTTGGTTTTGGCTATTTCTTACCTAATTCAGTTGCACCCATTTTAGTCTGGAGATCATTTTCCTTCACAGTAAAGTCAAAATTAAATAGCAACCGGAGAACCTGATTTTCTCTGAATCATTCCTCTGCACTTTAAGATTTTATTTATTTATTTAGAGAGCATGCATAAGCAGGGGGAGGGGCAGAAGGAGACGGAGAGAGAGAATCCCAAGCTGACTCCTGGCTGAGCATGGAGCCTGCCTTGGGACCCCATCTCACAGCCCTGAGATCATGACCTGAACCAAAATCAAGAGTCGGATGCTTAACGGACTGAGTCACCCAGGTGCCCCCCTCCTGGCACTATTCTTAAGGTTTGAGCCATTTTCCTACCTTTATCACAGGTAACTTTATCATTTTTTTCTTAACCTCTGTGTGTGATCTTTTAAAATCCGAGTCCATGGCAGGAAACTGCACAAACGTCAGTTTGCACTGTTGGGAGTCCTCCAACACTCTCCTCCATCTGCACAGGTGACTTGAAGCAAACTGTGCCCCCGACAGCACTTCCTCCGTCTATCCTCACCAAATTTCTAGACATGTAGTGTCTCTTTGTGGGTGTATTTCTATACGCAGCCCTCTTCCCAACCAGACTTGGGAGTAAGATACGCCCTCTCATCCCCATGCCTGATCTCGAATCTGATGAGGGTTCAACAACAATTTCGCAAGTATTTAATAAATATTTATAGGCACTTACTATGTGCCCGGTACTGAGTCTTGAGGATTTTTACAGCCATGGGTAGAATGCTCTGTGTTAGAACTTCTGTAGTTCTTTATGACCCTGCTCTGTGCCTGGATAGGTAGACCCCTGAGGCCATAAATAGTCTTTCTGGTCCTCCTTCAGAAGACTTCCTTACGCAGGTCACGAGGCATTTCTGGTGCCTTTAGCATTCCTTCCGTATCAGAGCTGCCTCTCTGTGTAGTAATAGGTTTCAAGGATTTATCTGGGTGTTTTCCCTCCAGATTCAGTTCAAAGTCTTATTGGTTGAGAAGGACCCTGCCATATAAAATGCTGTTTCTGGCCCCCTGGGGTTGAACAATCCCATAATTTACAAATGCTTTAAAAATAAGACACCAAGCGCCTGTGCCTGGGTGGCTCAGTGGGTTAAAGCCTCTGCCTTCGGCTCGGGTCGTGGTCCCGGGGTCCTGGGATCGAGGCCTGCGTCGGGCTCTCTGCTCAGCAGGGAGCCTGCTTCCTCCTCTCTTTCTGACTGCCTCTCTGCCTACTTGTGATCTCTCTCTCTGTCAAATAAATAAATAAAATCTTAAAAAAAAAAATAAGACACCAAGGACCCATGAAATTCATCCTACACTTGAGGTTCTCTGGTTCTCCAACGTTCCTGTGTCTAGGAGTCCTCTGGGGATGGTATTAAGCATGTAGACAGGAGCCCTGGTAAGGCTGGAAATCTGCATCCTTACAGGCAATGAGGGTGCACGGCAATATCTATGCCTACTCTCATTGCTGCTATTCTCACGGGCCCTCAACCACCCACAGCCAGCATCTTGGATTGCTTTTGCCTTGATTGTCTGTGTTTCTCCACCAAGTGGATGGGTTGCTTCTGCCCTGGGCTGAAAGCAGATTCCTTTTTGCATCTCTCCTGCTGGGAAATCTTCAGGGTTCTGTATTCCAGCTGCAGAAGGACTGGCTTTCCTCCATCCCCACCCCCCTTCATATTGCTTTCCCCACGTCCCCTTCGTCTCTCGCCTCTGGATGTGGTTTTGAGACCTTCTACCTTCCCGGAGCTCCATCCTTCCTGGGTTTTTCTCTTACAACTCTTTAACACTCAGATGGAAGTATCTTTGTCATCTGTTTGCCCCATTCTGTTGCCCAGACACAATCATGTATATGTCAGAGGCAAGGTTTGCCCGACTATTACCAATGCCCTCCAAAGGACAGACTGCAAACCAAATGCAGGAAGGGAAAGAAAAACCTCCATGAATTTTAGAGAATTGCTTGTTTTTCCTTGTGTTTCAATCTCTTCTCTACCCACCATCCCCTCACATAACTGCAGGACCCTGGGGTGTGACGCTGGCTCAGAGGCTCTGACAGAGCACACCTTTGGTCCAGACCACCCCTGTCGCGATATTTGATCAGTAGGCATTTTCTGCGGATGGCTAGACTTTTACTAAGCACTAACCATGTGTTGGCTCCAAGGAACTCAGGCCTAGAAAGACACTTAGCTGCAAAACACGCCCCTCCAGACCAAATATGCAGAGTGCTTAAAACCCCAGTGAGCTGCAGACATGACCTGCTTTGGAAATTAAGCTTAGGGACCAAAAGGATCGTGAACAAACAGGTCAAATGAAACTGACCGCTGAAGGCTGCCTCTCTGGAGGTGGGCCCACAGGGGGATAAATGGGCTCTGGGGCCCCCCATTCCCTCACTCCAGCCTTCTCTCTATCCCCTCCCCTCCCACATCCTTTCAAGCTTAACACCAGCACTTTACAGGCTATTACCCGCTAAATGGCTTTAGAATCCTGCTTATGAATATTTAGATAAATGCTCGGATTTTTCCCAGCTGTCATGCTTATTGACTTTGAAATGGTTCCAGTTCTCAGGGCCCCACCGGAACGCACATGCTGACAAAAGTCCCACATGAACTGATTTCGCCTGTAAAGTCCTCCTGGGCTGCCCATGCAGCTGAGCTCTGGGCTTGTGTGGGCCTGCCCTCTGCCTTTCCACCCTCCCTCATTGGGTTTCTGGCACCTAATTCCATGGAACCACATTCGAGCTACGAAATAGAGCAGGCATGGGTGTGGGCAGGGAAGTGAGTTGGTGGGGGGGACTCTAATTTACTGCTGCCATGACTACAGCTGTGAAATGAATCCGTGAACCCATGATGGATCAATCTTACAAAGGCAGGATTTAAATTATTAATAACGGTAAGCAATGCTGCTCCGTCTTGCATCCCAGGATCTGAGGGTGAGGGGACTTTGGGCTTAATTGGGGAGAGGACTAAGATTCTCAATGCAATCTTGCCACACTCTTTCTTGAGTGCCTCCCAGTTGTGGCTCCAAAAGTTCAAACTACAGATGGTTTTGGCCTGTTTGGAATCGGGGCCAGCTTTGACTGCCTGCTGAGACACAGTCCCGCTTGCCACCATCCACGTGACCATCTGGATACAGCCCATCACCCCAAGGAACCCATCTGTAATCTGGGAAGGTAATGGCCTGTGTCCCTGAGGGAAATGGGGCCCATGTTCCCATAGAGCAGGAACAAGAAGACTAGTGAAAAGAGAAGGAAAGACTGGAAAAGTTATTTGTTTCAGCCCTTTGCTGATGTTTCCCTGAGGGGGGTTCTGGGGTGGAGGAAGGGGGGAGCAGGGCTAGGAGAGGAGCTTAACTTCTTACCTAAAATACCACTTCAAATGGTACAGGAAGTCGTTGTATAGCATTAACATGAGAAGCAATAGACAAGCTGTGATATTTCACACTCATGGAATGCATTCCCCCCCCCCACCCCGGCTCCGGCCCTCCATGTGATGGCCGGCAGGGTGTAGTTCCCCATCCCCCACTTACTTTCATAGATCCATTTTGTCTGCGTGCTCTGGTCTTGCCAGGCCAGAAGTTCTCTCTCTTGCTGCATGTACGAGGTAGAAGGTCTTGTGTCATCGTACGGAATCTCATAGGGAAGTTCAGAGATGGAAGGTGGGACAGAGAAGAGCATGGTCTCCTCGTAAGGGTTGGTTGCTGAGCTCCTGTCAGAGGTGAGCACACGGGTAGCTCAACTTCCAGGCAGGGACCAGGTTAGGCACTGGGGCTATGGGCTGCGGGGATGGTGGGGTGGCTACTCTCCAGCTCCTGCAGACTCTGCCTGCCCCAGATGGTGGATGTCACAGGTGAGAAGGGACCGCAAGTCAGTGACGGTGAATAGGTCCCTGCGCCATTTTGGGCAGCAGAACCCCACATTGCCAACTGCCACTTCGTTTACTGGAAAAGGCTCTCTGGATGCCTTCAAAGGCCAATGGCCCAGGCTTCCATAACTGACAGTCTAATGTTCTGGAACATTCTCCATCCTTTGTGGTGCACGACCCTGCCCATCCCAGTGGCCCTTCCTACCTTACCGCTGCCTCAGGTAGAGTGGGAAAAATACCAGAGTAGAAGCTGCAGCAGCTTAAAATCAAGCACCGAGGTCTGTCCCCTCTAGTCTGCCCACTACAAATACCACCATTATCGAGAAAGGTTTCCACAGGGCCTGATGACAGAGTATTGGCTCTGAGGCAGACGCCCTGCCATCTGGTAGCTTAAGATCCAAAGGGACGACCCCAACACACAGACCCGCACTGTGTTCTTCTTCAGGAATTTCTGCTTTTAGCTGGGGGCAAAAACCTGTCATTCAAAGGGATGAGAGCAGTCTTTGGGGTGTTTCAGCCCTGAAGTCCTCTCATGTAAACTGGCTGAAATGGCAGAGACAAGGGTAAGGGAAAATGCCTGCCATATAAATGGGCACTGACTATGTTTGGTAGACAAAACACAGACTTTGGTGTCAAGTGACACCAGCTGAAATCTTGGCTCCTGCACTGTAGAGGAGTAACTTTGGGTAACTGTTGAACGTTTCTGCATCTTTTTGATAATCATACCTCCCTTACAGGTCCCTGCCAGGGAGGACAAAGTGAGAGCGGGCAAGTGCATTCTTGGCTTCTGCTGTTCTTACTGGTGAGGGGAGCAGTGCAGTGGCCCTTCGGAGATGGGCCTGTTCCCTGCATGGGTCTCTGGGACCCAAAGAGGTCATGCAAGTCTCCATGAAAGGACTTTGAGAAGTCAGAGCTGCCAAACACACTGAGAGATCACATTTAAGGTAACAGTGGGCCTATCTGGTCATTGCCATCTTCATGCACATTTACTCAGCATCCTCCCCATCACACCTCCCTTGGGCTGGGACATGGTGGGGTTTTCTGGGGGCACCTATTAAAGCAGGACTGGGGTTCTGGTCTACCTGGGCCAGGTTCCAACTCCCTGCCCCATCTGCAATGGAAGGGTGTGGGATCCTGGGGAGATTGGATGGTTCCAGGCCTGCTTCTTTAGCTGTTTCACAGAGGGGAAGGGGTCTGGTGTGTGCTGGGGGATCTTCTGTGCATGTGTGTGAGAGTGGGAGAGGGGGCCTTCCTGTTGATAAGGGACCCATGAAATGCTTGACCTGAACCTGTTCCTTTTTCCCACTCCCTGCCTAACAAACAAATAGGAGTGTACACTTCTTGCCTAAAGTGGTTTGTAGGTTCAGTCTCTCAGCAACCTGGTGTCAGGAAAATCCAGGGCCTCTCTGATCCCCATGAACTCCTCCGTGACAGGAAAGCCACTTAGCTGGAATGTGGATAAAGGATTGGATGGGTGCCTACGTTTAGAATGAAGCCGACCCGGAATCATGACTCTTGTTCTCTGCCTGCTAAGTTTCCATGTGGTGGCTTGCAGGGAGCAGGGAGCAGGAACGGGACTAACAGTGACCCATAGCATGTCTGAACCCCTGCTCTTAGGGAGCCCCACAAGCTAATACTCATCGAGTCCCCACCACAGCCTCATGAGGCTGAAACTCTTCCTGTCCCTGTTTCAGCAATGAAGAACCTGGGGCACAGAGATTGTATGTGGCTGCCCGATGGCATGCCGCTGGCTGAGATTCAAACCCGAGTGGTCTGGCTCCTGAGCCCCTGTTCTCAGTCACGGACCTTCCCGCGCTCACGGCCTGTTGCTTCCTGTGCTGTGGGTGTCCATGACTGAGGTGAAGGGGCCTCCAGAGAGCCATTGCCTCTTATGTGTTGGCTCAGTGGGGGCAGTGCCATCTGATCCATGTTGCTGAGCCCCCAGAACTGTGAAGCATGGAGCTAAGGGGTTGGTGGAGAGCAGCGATGGGGGTTGGCCTCACCGGGCTGAGGGGTGGCCCTCAAGTAGTAGCCTGTCGCTTGCCTATGCAGCAGAGAAGGGATCTCATCCCAGCTTCTCACCATAACCAAACTGGCCTTGTGCTTTCTTCATATCCAGTGCCAACCCGCCTCACCAGTGGATACAAATACTCTGCAGTCACTCTCAGGGGAGGGATTGTAGGGGATGACACACAAGGATGAGGTCTGTGAGTTGGAAGTCTGGGGTACCCCTCACCTTGGTTTCTACAGAGCTGAGCACATAGGAGGCACCGACTCATTTATTCCATAGGTTTGTTAGTGACTGTCTTGCATGTGCCAAACCCTGTATGAGTGCTCACTGAACGGTGACTGAGACCTTGGGAACATGCCTGAATAAGGAAGATGGCAACTCTCCTTTGGGCATTCATCCCTCTGTTCACTGCAAGCATGGCCACAAGCCCCTTGCTCTCTTTCCCTGGTTGAGACCTTCTGTGCAGACTCAGATAGCTCTTATTCTTTCATTTCTATAGTCCTGGGTGCCCCAGACTTGGATCTTGGGACCTGTCCCTCACCCTGTGAGTAGCTGAGTGGCAGAGGGGACAATGGCAGGAGGTCCTTTCTGTGTGACTCCTGGAGATACCCCAACCTGTATCCCTCCTTCCTCAGGGAGCCTGAACCCTGTACCTCCGCACCACCCACCCCCCTATTCCCGTCCTGGGTCTGCAAAGGCTCCTGCAGCATCATCCTCAATCATGGATTTCCACCTGATTTGTCCAAAAACTAAACCATTACCTTGAGATAAGATGAGGCAGGGTTTGATAGGAAGAAGTAATCTTGAATTCTATTAGAAAAAGAACAGAAAGACAATATTGGGGAAAAAAAGAAGGTATCTTTTTTTTCTATTTAAAAATGTGTTGTTAAGTACATGATGCTGGAGTTGGGGTAGAGAGGCCCCAGTTTATAGAATTCCTTTATTTTCACTTTTTATTAGTGTTCTCTCTTAATGGTTTCCCTTAGAAATTACAAGGTTAAGTTTTATAAAGTCAACAAGAACTCAAGAGGTAATTTTCATAAAATCATGGATTTTGGAAATTCAAGTTTGCTTTGTTAATCTTTGGGTTATCACAGAAGCCTTGCTGTGTCATGAGATGAAGGATATCTGTACAGAAGAGGTAACAGAGGTTCAGAAGATCTAAATATTTTTTTTTAAAGATTTTATTTATTTATTTGACAGAGAGAGATCACAAGCAGGCAGAGAGGCAGGCAGAGAGAGAGGAGGAAGCAGGCTCCCTGCTGAGCAGAGAGCCCGATGCGGGGCTCGATCCCAGGACCCTGAGATCATGACCTGAGCTGAAGGCAGCGGCCTAACCCACTGAGCCACCCAGGCACGCCCAGATCTAAATATTTTTAAATGAGTTTTAATTTCAAAAACTCTGTTTGTTTCATTTAATCATCTATTTGCCTTGAATGATACATCAAGAATTTAATGTACAATTGGGAGAGAATAAGCCATCAATTCTAATAATAGAGCCCAGCCCAGTGGAAGTAGCCAAGAAATGAGAACCACAAATTGAAATTTGGAACTTAAATGTTCAATACTTATACTTATCCGCAGTTTACCCATGACACAGAATATTATTGAGGAATATTACTTGGCTCTTAAAATGATATCTACAAAGGTTAACCAATATGGGCAAATATTGAAGTCACAATTCTGTTACAAAAGTAAAATACAGAAGATGGTGGAGGAGTAGGAGACCTAAATTTCATCTGGTCCCAGGAGTTCAGCTAGATAGTTAACAAACCATTCTGAACACCTACGAACTCAACAGGAGATCAAAGAGAAGAATAGCAGCCATTCTGTGAACAAAAGTGACCACTCTCTGGAAGGTAGGATGTACGGAGAAGTGACTCTGAGGTGATATACCAGAAGATAGACTGCAGGGGGTAGAGCCTCCATGAGTCAGCTCCTGGCAATGGCTAGAGCAGCGGAGCACAAAATCAGAACTTTTAGAAGTCTTCTCCATGGAGGGACGTTGCTCCGGGGCTAAGTGGAGGGTGGAACCCTTGCTGGGACAGTGTGGTCTCAGGAGTCACAAAAAAAGTAGGGGAGCCTGAGTGTGGCAGAGCTGCCACATTTTGGAGCAGGGAAGCTGGCTGCAGAGACAGAGCTGAGGAGTGGGCTCTCAGCTCAGGGTTACCATAGACTGTGATCTGAGGCACAGTCAACCACTGCTTTTTGATCTGGGACCCCACAACTGGCAGATCTGGGGAGACACCCCTCTTCTTTCACCAGAAGGAGTGGTGTGGGAGCACGCAGCAGGAATCTGCTGGGTTTGGAGACTCCAAACCAGGCCATGCATCAGAGATAGAAACGCTCAGTCACAGGCTGGGTGAGCTTGGAGTGTGGCTGGAGACCAGGGAGACAGGAGTGATTGACTGCTTTTCTCTGAGGGCATATTGAGGTGTGGGCCCCTGAGCTCTTGGCTCATATGGGCCAGAGATTGGGAGGCCACCATCTTCATTCCTGTCCTCCAAAGCTCTATGGAAAGCATTCAGGGAACAAAAGCTTCTGAGAGCAAAACCGAGCAGATTACTTAGACTGGCCCTTGGCAAGGGCGGTGCAATTCCTTCTCAGGCAAAGACACTTGAGAATCACTGCAAGAGCCCCTCCCCCCAGAAGATCAGCAAGGACATCCAGCCAAGACCAAGTTCACTGATCAATGAGAACTGCGGAATTCCAGAGCTAGAGGAATACAGCACATAGAATTCTTGCCTTTTTCCCATAATTCTTCAGTTTTTCAAAGTTAAATTTTTGAATTTTCTTTATGTTTTTCTTTTTCTATTTTTTTTGGGTTTTTCCTCTTTCCTATTTTAACCAATATCTTATCTTATCAATATCTTTTAAAAAATCTTTTAATTTTCATTTTTATAGTCATATTCTATCCCTTCATTGTATTTAACCTTATGTTTTATATATCTATAAGTTTTTCTTTCTTTAAAATTTTGGGATACAGTTTCTTCTAACAGACCAAAATATACCTAAATCTAGCATATGGCTCTGTTCTAGTCTCCTGCCTGGTCACATTCTGTTTTGTTGTTGTTTTTTGTTTGTTTATTTGCAGTTTCTTCTAACAGATCAAAATACACCCAAAATCTAGTGTGTGGCTCTGCCCTATTCATCAGCTTGATCATACTCTTTTTTCCCCCTTTCTTTTCCCCCGGTTTCGGGTCTCTTCTGATTGGTTTAGTGTGTTTTTTCTGGGGTTGTTGTTACCTTTTTAGCATTTTGTTCTCTCATTCCTCTATTCTTCTCTGACAAAATGACAAAATGAAAAAACTCACCTCAAAAAAAAAAAGAACAAGAAGCAGTACCGACTGCCAGGAACCTAGTCAATATGGACATTAGTAAGATGTCAGAACTAGAGTTCAGAATGACGATTATAAAGATATGAGCTGGGCTTGAAAAAAGCATAGAAGACACTAGAGAATCCCTTTCTGGAGAAATAAAATCTGACCAAGTCGAAATCAGAAAGGCTATTAATAAGGTGCAATAAAAAATGGGAGGCTCTAAATGCTAGGATAAATGAGGCAGAAGAGAGAATTAGTGATATAGAAGACCAAATGATGGAGAATAAAGAAGCTGAGCAAAAGATAAACAACTACTGGATCATGAGGGGAGAATCTGAGAGATAAGTGATACTATAAGATGATACAATGTTAGAATAATTGAGATCCCAGAAGAAGAAGAAAGAGAGGGGGGCAGAAGGTATAATGGGACAAATTATAGTAGAGAATTTCCTTAATTTGGGGAAGGAAACAGGCATCAAAATCCAGGAGGCACAGAGAATCCCCCCTCAAAATCAACAAAAGTAGGTCCAAACCCTGTCATCTAATAGTAAAACTTACAAGTCTCAAAGACAAAGAGAAAATCCTGAAAGCAGCTCAGGACAAGAGGTCTGTAACATACAATGGTAGAAGTATTAGATTGACAGCAGACTTGTCCACAGAGACCTGGCCAGCGAGAAAGGACTGGCGTGATATATTCAGCACTAAATGTGAAAAATGTGCAGCCAAGAATACTATATCCAGCTAGGCTGTCATTGAAAATAGAAGGAGAGATAAAAAATTTCCAAGACAAACAAAAACTAAAAGAATTTCCAAACACCAAACCAGCCCTACAGGAAGTATTGAAAGGGGTCCTCTAAGCAAAGAGAGAGACTAAAAATAACATAGACGAGAAAAGAACAGAGACAATATACACTAACAGTCACCTTATAGGCAATACAATGGCACTAAATTCATATCTTTTAATAGTTACCCTGAATGTAAATGAGCTAATACTCCCAATCAAAAGACACAGGGTAACAGATTGGATAAAAAAACAAGAACCATTGATATGTTGTCTGCAAGAGACTCATTTTAGACCCAAAGACACCTCCAGATTTAAAGTGAGGGGGTGGAAAACCATTTACCATGCTAATGGACATCAAAAGAAAGCTGGGGTGGCAATCTTTATGTCAGATAAATTAGATTTTAAGCTGGTCTATAATAAGAGAGGAGGAAGGACACTATATCATACTCAAAGGATCTGTCCAACAAGAAGATCTAACAATTTCAAATATTTATGCCCCTAACATGGGAGCAGCCAATTATATAAACCAATAAATAACAAAATCAAAGAAACACATAGACAATAATATGATAATAGGAGACTTTAACACCCCTCTCACTGAAATGGACAGATCATCTAAGCAAAAGATCAGCAAGGAAATAAGGGCTTTAAATGACACACAGGACCAGATAGACATCACAGATATATTCAGAACATTCTATCCCAAAACAACAGAATACACATTCTTCTCTAGTGCATGTGGAACATTCTGCAGAATAGATCACATCCTGGGTCACAGATCAGGTCTCAACCAGTACCAAAAGACTGGGATCATTTCCTTTCTATTTTCAGACCACAGTACTTTGAAACTAGGACTCAACCACAAGAGGAAAGTTGGAAAGAGCTCAAATACATGGAGGCTAAAGAACATCCTACTAAGGAATGAATGGTCAACCAGGAAATTAAAGAAGAATTTAAAAAATTCATGGAAACAAATGAAAATGAAAACACAACTGTTCAAAATCTTTGGTATGCAGCAAAGGCAGTCCTGAGAGGGAAGTATATAGCAATACAAGCCTTTCTCAAATAACAAGAAGGGTCTCAAATATACAACCTAACCTTATACCTAAAGGAACTGCAGAAAGAACAGCAAAGAAAGCCTAAACCCAGCAGGAGAAGAGAAATGATAAAATTCAAAGCAGAAATCAATGAAATAGAACCAAAAGAACAGTAGAACAGATCAATGAAACTAGGAGATGGTTCTTTGAAAGAATTGACAAGATTGATAAACCCCTGGCCAGACTTATCAAAAAGAACAGAGAAAGGACTCTAATTAATAAAATCATGAATGAAAGAAGAGAGATCACAACCAACACCAAAGAAATACAAACAATTTAAGAACACATTATGAGCAACTATACACCAGCAAATTTGGCAGTTTGCAAGAAATGGATGCATTCCTAGAGACCTATAAACTACCAAAACTGAACCAGGAAGAAATAGAAAACCTGAACAGACCCATAACCAGTAAGGAGATTGAAGCAGTCATCAAAAAAATCTCCCAACTAACAAGAGCCCAGGGCCAGACAGCTTCCCAGGGGAATTCTACCAAACATTTAAAGAAGAATTAATACCTATTCTCCTGAAACTGTTCCAAAAAATAGAAATGGAAGGAAAACTTCCAAACTCATTTTATGAGGCCAGCATTACCTTGATCCCCAAACCAGAGACTCCAACAAAAAGGAGAATTACAGACCAATATCCCTGATGAACATGGATGCAAAAATTCTCACCAAAATACTAACCAGTAGGATCTAATAGCACATTAAAAGGATTATTCACCAAAACCAAGTGGGATTTATTCTTGGGCTGCAAGGTTGGTTCAACACCCAAAAATCAATTGATGTGATACAATACATTAATAAAAGAAAGAACAAGAACCATAAGATACTCTCAATAGATGCTGAAAAAGCATTTGAGAAAGTAGAGCATCCCTTTTTGATCAAAACTCTTCACAGTGTAGGGATAGAGGGTACATACTTCAAAATCATCAAAGGCATCTATGAAAAACCCACAGCGAATATCATTCTCAATGGGGAAAATTGAGAGCCTTTCTCCTAAGGTCAGGAACTCTCTTTAGGCAGGGCTGCCCACTATCACCACTGCTGTTCAACATAGTACTAGAAATCCTAGCTTCAGCAATCAGACAACAAAAAGAAATAAAAGGCATCTGAATCAGCAAAGAAGTAGTCAAACTCTCTCTTTGTAGATGATATGATACGATACTTTATGTGGAAAAGTCAAAAGACTCCACTCCAAAACTGCTAGAACTCATACAAGAATTCAATAAAGTGTCAGGATATAAAATAAATATTTTATATTTATATTTACTTATATTAAATAAATTTATATTAAAAATTATATTAAATATTAAATTAAATATTTATAAAATAAATTAAAAAACCAACAACAAGACAGAAGAAAGAGAAATTAAGGAGTCAGTCCCATTTACAATTGCACCCAAAACTATAAAATACCTCAGAATAAATCTAACCAAAGAGGCAAAGGATCTGTACTCAGAAAACTATAAAATACTCATGAAAGAAATTGAAGAAGACACAAAGAAATGGAAAAACGTTCTGTGCCTATGGATTGGAAGAACAAATATTGTGAAAATGTATATGTTGCCTAGAACAATCTACACATTTAATGCAATCCCTATCCAAATACCATCAACTTTTTTCCAAAGAAATGGAAAAAATAATCCTAAAATTTATATGGAACCAGAAAAGACCCCAAACAGCCAGAAGAATGTTGAGAAAGAAAACCAAAGTTGGCAGCATCACAACTCTAGACTTCAAGCTCTATTACAAAGCCATAATCCTCAAGACAGTATGGTACTGGCACAAAAACAGATACATAGATCAATGGAATAGAAGAGAGAACCCAGAAATGGACTCTCAACTCTATGGTCAACTAATCTTCAACAAAGCAGGAAAGAATCTCCAATGGTAAAAGCAGTCTCTTCAACAAATGGTGTTGGGAAAACTGGACAGCTACATGCAGAAGAATGAAACTGGATCATTTCCTTATACTGTACACAAAAATAGACTCAACATGGATAAAAGACCTCAATGTAAGACAGGAGTTCATCAAAATCCTTGAGGAGAACACAGTAAGCAACCTCTTTGACCTCAGCCGCAGCAACTTCTTCCTAGAAACATCGCCAAAGGCAAGGGAAGCAAGGGCAAAAATGAACTATTGGGACTTCATCAAGATCAAAAGTTTTGCACAGCAAAGGAAACAGTCAACAAAACCAGAAGACAATAGACAGAATGGGAGAAGATATTTGCAAATGACATATCAGATAAAGGGCTAGTATCCAAAAATCTATAAAGAACTTCTCAAACTCAACACCCAAAGAACAAATAATCCAATCAAGAAATGTGCAGAAGACATGAACAGACATTTCCCTGATAGTTAAGAAAACCATGCAGAGGGGTTAAGTGACTTGCCCAAGGTCGTGCCCTAAGAAGTGGGAGAGAATTGACCCTCAAACTCAGGTAGGTAAGCTCCTGAGAGGGGAAGGAAAGTGTGTTCTTTGTGATATACTCACACCTACCTCCAAACAGACAAATACATGGCATTCCCGCTCCTCAGTCCCCATCTGATCCTGTGGCAGGCATCACTAGTTGCTCATGGCTCTCTTTCTTGCTGAGGCGAAATTGGCCCTCACAATCTTCCTTGACATAGTGCTCCCCCACTAGTCTCTAGCAATTAATCCATCAACCCAAGCAATAAAAGCCCATTTGTCATTTCTAGGGCCCATTTCCAATTAGTTTCTAAAAGATGTTTCTAAAAATAAATGCAGGTGCATGCATGCCTGACTTTATGAAATGAATGAAATTGAACTTGACTCCGTTTGCATGTCCTGAGCATTTGCTAGGGGTCAGGAAGGCACTCCTGTGCGCAGGGCTCAACAAATTTCTATCTTAAATGTATTGGCAAAAATGTTCCACATTAAGAAATCTTGATGTAAATTCTTTTAAAAAGTTCCAAATCCTGTTGTAGACCCCTTCTTAATTTAATGCTTAATTTAATGTTCTGTGAAGTGTGGCTTGGTACCCTGGGTTTTCACATACCAAGACATTCTTCCATGTGCCTTTAAAGGCATTTTAGCATTCCTCCACAGTTTTCTCAGTGCCTTTCCAAATTTTGCTAGCAGGGCATTTATTTTCAAAGCTTTTGCTTTATACACAGTTCCATTCACTTGACAGCATTGTATTTGTCCCACTGTCGTGGGTAATATATTTACAAAGGCCCAGTGCATACAGGGGACATGTTAAGAATGCTTGATTCATACTGTGCAAAAGAAATGGCCCGAATGCTATTTTTCAGAATTAGAATTACACTCGGTATTTCCACAGCAGGAATACTAGGATTCTGAGAGGGAGCTTTATGGCAGAGGCACATACAAAAGAGAGTTTCCCAGCGATAGAGGCATTACCTCTCCAGTGCCCCAGCGAACCTTCCACAAGGGTAGGAAGAACCTTGGTTGATGCATCTGGTTTGAGGAAGAGGGGCGTAAATGCCTGTATTGAGTGCTAAGAACAGACAGCTCTTAGGATGTAGGTGGTATGTAATGAGATTGGGATTTAAAAATTCAAGCTGCCTGAGTGGCTTGCAGGTGGTAATGGAATCAGATCCAGAAAAATAATGTTGTCCTATTTCTAGGTCAATGTCGTGATGATGCAGATGACCGGTATTTTTAACTTTCTGAACCTAGTTGGTTATGGCCCTGCAGTCATGTCAGCAAGGGAAGACACCACATGGACCTCAGAGAACGTGAGAATCAGCCACCTCTAACAACGGCACAAGGAGTCCATAGTCAAATAATAAAACCCAACTTCAGGAAAAGGTGGCAATCGCAGGAATGGTATTGGAAAAATGTCAGCCCTAGGGTGAAAGAAATCACTCGAAATACTCACAGCCAGGGAAAGATGAGGCCTGCCAGGGGCCCGGTGGGCACCGGGAGAAGCCTGCTAGTGTCTATTGACCTAGCAACAGATTGCGGGATGGATTCTGGGAAATAATTAGAGGTCACTGATAAAATTGAGCCCTAAGGATGTTTAGCAAAGTGCTGTTTGAAAAAGTAACAAAAACCACATCAGAAACAATGAATGATTAATAATAATCAGGAATTGATTAACAATATTAGGGCTTGCAAATACAATACGGAGTGATGTAGCTATTAAAATGATCTGTAGAGGGGCGCCTGGGTGGCTCAGTGGGTTGAGCCGCTGCCTTCGGCTCAGGTCATGATCTCAGGGTCCTGGGATCGAGTCCCGCATCAGGCTCTGGGCTCAGCGGGGAGCCTGCTTCCCTCTCTCTCTCTCTGCCTGCCTCTCTGTCTACTTGTGATCTCTGTCAAATAAATAAATAAAATCTTTAAAAAAAAAATAAAAAAAATAAAATGATCTGTAGAAAATTTAATAACATGAAATGTATTCCTATAAGTATGAATTCTCACGTGTTCATGTAAGAATGTAATATATGTATTATATGTCAACTGCTTTTTATGATATATTTATTTATAATTTTATGTATATATAAATTATTATATGTAAAGCATAATATACCTTAAAAAGCAGGTGACTTTAAAGCCTGGGGAGGATATATATATGTATCTCCCCACATATATAAAGTGTGAAAGTGAATCCCCCCTCTGGGTGGTAGTGATGGTTACTTTCTTCATTTTTCTTACATACAGTTTAGATAAACATGTATTACTTGTGCACTAAGGAAAAGACACAAATTATAAGGTCTGTTCAGTTTTGTTTTGTGCATGAGTAGGGGATTTCTGTTCAGTAGGCCTCTCTGCTCTGTGGGTGCGCTGCCTGGAGGCCCGGCCTTTGAGGCTGGGCGGAGAGCTCGGTCAGTCCTGAGTGGGCCTACACACCGCGGGGGGTTTGGCAGACTGAGCTGCGGCTTTATTCCAAGTTAGATCTTTGTTCCTGGGCGCTGCGGTGAACTAGAGTTGCTGTCTTTTAGGGCCCTCACCTCCCCAAGTCCCCTCCCTGACACTTTCCTCCATACACATCCTCTTTTCCTTTCAGGTACTCTCCCTCGTCCAGACACTCACCGTCTTCCAGATACTCTTCCAACAGATCCTCTGTTTCTTCCAGATGCTTTTTCTTCCGCAGATGCTTTCTCTCCTTCAGAAACCCCGGAATCTCATACAGATAGGGGTTCTCTTTCAGAAACCTTTCCTCCTCTAGGTACTCCTCTTCCTCAGAATAGATTTCCTCTTCCAGATACTCACTGTCTTCGGGAGATAGATACTCTCTCTCTGAATTCTCATCCTCTTCATTACCTCCTTCCTCGGAACATAAGGTCTGTGTGGAGTACCGGGAGGTTGTGGGAAAGGAAAGAGGGGACGTTCCTCCAGAGGACTGATTACTTCCAGCAGACATTGGGGCAGCATTAAGCAGAAGAGACCCTTCAGCAAACAGCAGCAGGCAGTCACTTTACTGTCCTGGGAACCAAGAAAGGAATAGCATCCCATTAGTCGGTAATTCCCACTGCACATTGCTTTAAATCCATTTTTGTTGACTCATTTCAGTCAGTAGTGGTTGGAGGGCCCTTTGAGTGTGCAGACCAGCACATGGCGGCCCATGAGAAGGCACATACAAGGAGGAACAGGGTTTTACCCTCAAGGAGCTGGTAGGAGAGATCACACCCTACGACACCTTTGCAATTACTGCACAATATGAAACGAAGGAGTGATTGTGTGTCTGGTGGTAATGTCATCAGGGAAGACTTTAAGTGATCCTTCAAGAACGATTTATCACCACAGTAAGCAAGACAGAGGATGCCTTGCAGGAGCTTGAAATCTGGCGTGCAGACAGGTTTCTAGCCACAAAGTACCAGGCGCAGTGCGAGAGGTACCAGTGGGTGATACAGGCACGGGGACCGGGGCCTCGGCCCGTGGTCAGCGGAGGGCCGCGTCGCTGGAGGTCTGCCAGGCGCATGCTCGAGGCCATGCGGGCACCACCCTCACCCCCACCTTGTCAGAAGCCCCACCCACCGTTGGTTCCCTCTGCAAACGCTTATTTTTACTTCCCAGCTCAATACAGCTGGGAGTGCCTAGGCTTCCCCAGGAAGTCTTCTGTGCTCCACCCTAAGCTCCCTCTACACTCTCTGTATTTTCAGGAAAGTTACTGTTTTGCGATATGATGTGGTTTGCTTGCACAGCTGTCTTTCCAACAGAGTGTGAAGGTTCTGAGGGCCAGAAGGATGGATTCTTGTTTAAAAATACACTTGAATCTACCCTTCTCCATCGCTACTGACTACCCACAGTGAGCCGTGTCATCAGCCAGCGGGATTCCTGCAGCCCTTTCCAGACTGGCCTTCCTGTGACCGTGGCTACCATGCCCCTAACATTCTCCGTGGAGAGTGTTCATGGGAACTAGAAATCAGACCATGATCTCCTGTGCTTCAGCTTCCTCCAGTGGTTTTCCTCTGTACTTGGAATACACTGTAAACACCATTCCATGTCCCCATAGGCCCTGTGAGATCTGGCACCTGCCTAGGCTCTCTGACTTTATCTCCTGCCATCCCTCCTCTGTTCTCCCACCCCGTGAGTTTCTCTTGTAGCACTTACAGTATTCCTGATTACCTTTTTTGTTTACTCGTCCAGTCTTTCTTTTCTACAAGACTGTCAGTGTCTCAGTGACCGTGTCTCATGCTTAATAAATGTCCAATAAATTTATGATTGGTGACTGAGCGAAGGGCAGAAGGAGTTGGCTCTAGAGCACTGGGTCCCAAAGTTTTAAAAAGGATGAAACTTAGTCTGCATAAGGGGATAGGTTGAAGAGGCTGCTCATTGTGGAGGCCAGTGGTCCAGAATCTTCCTGTTTGCTCCAAGGACTTCATGGGTCAATATCTTGGCCTGCCTTTTCTTTCAGATCTTAGACCAGGAAGCTCTGTTTTAGGGAACTGGCCGGATGAGATCATAGGTTCTCTTGCCGTCACATGGGCAACATGATGCCCAACATGAGAAGTGTGAGGTGTGAAAACACTCACAGTGGGTCGGTGGGCTTATCTGTCCACTGCAGCGCTGCTAGAACCCTTGCATTATCGGATTCTGATAGGATTATCGGATTCTGATAGGATTATCCTGGGGCAGTGTGGTGAACCGACGGGGTGCTGCCCAGCTGTGGAGGCTGTGGTCTACAGACAGCCTCTAGCCACCAGTTCCTTCAGGAACTGCCCTGGCTGCAGAGCCACCTTCCAGAAGTTGTGCCCTTCTCAGGGCAGCCCACATCTGGTGACTGAGCAAGGTGGGGCCGGGGGGCAGGGGGCTTTGGAGAGTGAAAGTCCAGCAGATTCAAGCAGGTCAGCTTTGACAGGCGGGCCTGCTGATCCTGTTCCATAAGACCCTTCTCTCTGCCAGTCCTTCCCCGCCTTTCTCAGGCCTTGGTCCCAAATCCACATCTGATATGCCACTGATGGCACGTCAAAGGTCTGCATTTTTGAGTCCATTTCCAGGCCATCCACCCTGCGACAGGCAGCGTCACAAAGCATAAACTGACTGTGGGATTGGGGAAAGTGAAGGGGAAAGGCCTCAGAGATAGTTTGGGGTTTTAGAAGGTGGGAGGCTGGGGAGTAAACTGAGCTGCCTGGGGCAGGGTAGAGTGTCCTGGCAGAGAGAGGACTGGGTAGGAAAAGTCAAGGCAGAGTCAGTGAGTGGAGCGCTGTAGAACCCATTATGAAACATTTTGTGCTGGGTGCTGACTGGGGAGGTGAGAGGATTAAAAACTCCCCAGGAGGGGACTCTTGTAGCCATCTACCAGAAACAGTGTCACTCTGCCACTCTGTTCCTTTGTCACTCACAGCTCTGGGGTCTGCGCATGTGTTTTCGGTAGGCTACCTCAAACTGTAAATCCTACACGTGAGGGAGAGGAGATCACCGGCGAGGCAAAGGGTGAGCTATGGGCAAGTGTGGGGGCCTACAGTTCTGTCTAAGAGAGCCTCCTCTGCTTTAAAGGGGCCCCTCCAGGCTTATTTTGACTTAAAATCTGAACGTGCCTGTTACTATAGCTGTCTACTCCTGATCCCCCACTCGCTCCTGAGCCTGGCTTCCTAAGCCAGTGGGAGAAGGAAGGAGCTGGGGAAGATAAGAGCAATCAGAGACAGGGTCTCTCCAGCCCTACCCCGGGAACGGTGACAGCAGGGGTGGGCACAAGTCCTGCCATCAAAGGCATGCTTACACTTTAGGGTTCTCTTGTCTTTCATATTTTCTAGCTGCTTGAGATAAAAGGTCAGAATCCCTTGGTCCCTGGAACGGCCCTGAATGCATTTATCATCAGCATGCTGTCATTCAGTGTTAGGGACCTTTTTTTACCCCCGATTTCTCACCAGGCCTTGTAAAAAGGCTCGGTCTGCTGCATTCTCATTTCAAAGATCAGAAAAGAAACTGCACTCTCGACATTCTTCCTTTAATTCTGCTAGAAACTTGTAAGAAAAACCATCGGGCAGAAATAAATATCAAGACAACTTGATACCCAGTGTCTCGAGGCAAACATCCAGGTTTTTGACTTGTGATTCGGACCACGACTCATTTTGACCCTGCTTTCTGAGACATTGTGGCTTAATTTCTGTGGTCACAACAGGAAACACCCACTCTATAACGGCTGATTATAGGTCATTACATTTTAGACTGACTTCACAAAATGGCTGCGTCAATCAAAGCCGGCTGGCAGACATTCTACTCAGCTTAAGTCATTTAAAAAAAAATACAGAGTGAGTATTTAGAATTGGCAGAATTCGGAAAAAAAACAAGGAATTCCAACTTCTCCTGGAGACAGGACTCTCGGGCAACCCGGCACTGGCTTTCCCATGTGGAGACCATGCTGCTGAGGCAAGGCTGCCTTCCTCCAAAGGGGCTGAATGTTCCATTTCTGCTTCCATCCCCACCACTACCTGTCATCTGCTCAGACACCCAGGCAGCCTCTTCCTCATGTAGGTCCTGTTGTTTTGTTTAGAGTAGAGCCATGGCTCTCTGTCTCTAGCAAAAGTTGGAAACTGGGGCACCTGGGTAGCTCAGTGGGTTAAGTCTCTGCCTTCGGCTCAGGTCATGATCTCAGGGTCCTGGGATCAAGTCCTGCATTGGGCTCTCTGCTCAGCAGGCAGGCTGCTCCCCCCCCCCCCCCCCCTCGCCTGCCTCGCTGCCTACTTGTGTGCTCTATGTCAAATAAATAAAATAAAATCTTGAAAAAAAAAAAAAACAAAACGAAACACAGAGTTCGGACTACATGAAGGTTTAACTGTAGCTTTGCCACCTTAAAAAAAAAAAAAAAGTTGGAAACCAAAAGATATACTAAAAGGACAGATGTTTCTCCCACTTTGCCTACTCATGCACTGGCTTTATCTTTCTGGCCCCAGAGAGAGATGGGGTCTTTGCTCCTGGCTCTTTGGTGCCATCATTACACAGGTCAGCACCAAACGCCCTGCCTACCATGACTGGCACGTAATAGGCACTTGGTAATACTTGTTGAGTGAAGAAATGAAAGGGCAAAGCAAAGTATTAATAATAGACTATGTGCTTTGCCAAGTATATTTACAGATTATGTGCATACGCTCATTAAATGAAGAGAGGTAGAACTTTATATCAGAGGTCACCGTAGGACCACAGTCTTGGAGACTTAGATCATTGTAACCCTTTCCACACTGCACTGTAAGTAAGAGGCCAGCTGATTTCTCTATAGTGATTTTTTTTGGGATCTCAGTTTCATTCTGAGAGGTTGAGGCCAGGATCCCCAAACATTCTTGGTTTGAAATATATGAGGAAGACGTAACTGGCTGATCTCATGAAAAATTACCACCACCTCTGGCTTCCAAGTGAGTGACCCAAAGAAAGGCTCTGTGTTCTGGTTCTGGTTTTTTAGATAAAGGGATTAGTAGGGTTTCCCCACTGGTTTCTAAGAGGGGAGGGTGGTGTTGCTCCTAAGTTGTTTTTTGTCCCTCTGCCTGGGGCCATGGCCCTACAGACTTGCTACTGGGCTTCATGCTTTGGAAATCAAGTGCAAGCAAAGGAACTTGCCATTGGGTGGGAACAAAGACCTTGGGGCAGGAAAATGGGCTGCTCTGTGAGAATGAGCATATTTGCTTTGTACAGCTCTTGAGGCCCTATGGGATGGCCCTGGGCAGTGAGAGGTTGGAAGGATATACTTGGACATGATTTTCCAGTTTGACCAGCACAGGTCTCCTCCCCGCACGCCTCCTTCTGGTCCTCCTCTGCTCTCGGGACATCAGTACTGCGATGTTTCTGGGGAAGCCACCCAAGGACCTCAATGGACCCTTGGTCTGCTAGCACCAAATGGCGGTTCTTTGTCATCACTATCCTCCCCCTTTGCGTTCTCAAAATAAAGGAAGGCTCTGCCTTCTCTGACAGGGAAGGCAGTTGGAGGTC